CCTGTCTCCTGACCACAGCTCCTCCCCTCCACACACAACTCTCCTAAAAACAGGAACTTCCGGTCAACTTCATAAGGCAAAACTGCACATTAATTGCCATGGGCTATAGTTCCTGCAAAATCAGTTGGCTGAGTTGCAGAGCATACAAAAAAAAAAGACTGGTGTTCTTAGGCCTGTTTCTGAAGTTGCTCTTGGCTTGATCCTGGGAACTTGACTGGTAAAAGCTCCTATGCTGATCTCGAACTTCCCCGAATGACAGTTCAGCTCCGCAAACAGGACAGCGATGCGAACACCTGCTTTCCTCCCGGGTCTGGGGGTGCTGTTCGTGCTTGGCAGAGGGACCTTACGGAAACAGTTCTCAATAAAAAATAAAAAAAAACCTTGGGTGTGTTGTCCCCGTAGAGATCCATTGGTAGACGGCATTTCCCATGTGTTGTCTCCACTGGTTGCTGGGGAATGAAGGGCACCCTGGGTGACTCCAGCCTGGTTCCCTCCGGACCTCACCCCACACTCCCGCTCCCCTTGGCTCATTTTGCTTCGCACCCTTTCACTGTAATGAGTCTCAGCTGGGAGTGCTCCTCTCTTCTTTATTTATTAGTATCATTGTTAGTATTATTATTCTTTTGTGGTAAGAACCCTTAAGATCTACCCTCTTAGCAAATAAGTCCAGGGTCCGAAGTTTCAGTCACGCACAGTCTACTGCACAGCGTGGGTGGAGCTAGAGTTCCTAGCAATGCATCGAATTAGTCTTAAAATCTAAGTAAAGTAAATCCCAATGAAGAATCCTGGAGTGGGCCAAAGGTGTGTGTTTAGTGTAAATTTGCCCAAATGAAGGATCTCTATGCCCAATCTCTGTGACGTTTGAGAGGCCTATTTAATATCAGCTTAACTCCCAGAATCCATTGCCTCAAAATGTGTGATCAAAGCCCCTTTTCCTTCTCTATGGTATACTTGTTCCATTCTTTTTTTTTTTTTTTAATATTTTTTCTTGCTCTGGCCGGTTTGGCTCAGCAGTTAGAGCGTCGGCCTGCGGACCAGAGAGTTCCGGGTTCGGTTCCTGTTAAGGGCGCGTACCTCGGTTGCAGCTTGTCCCCGGCCCCGGCTGGGGTCTTGCGGGTAGCAACCACTCGATATATCTCTCTCACATTGATGTTTCTATCTCTTCCTCCCTCTCTCCCTTCCGCTGTATCTGAAGATAGATGCAAAAATGTGCTCAGGTGAGGGTTAAAAATAAATAAATAAATAAATAAATAAATATTTTTTTTCTTTATTGATTTTTTTGGGCGAGGAAGGGAGAGGGAGAGATAGAAACATCGATGAGAAAGAACATCGAATGGCCGCCTCCTGCACGCCCCCCACTGGGGATCGGGCCCACAACCCGGGCATGTGCCCTGACTGGGAATGGAACCGATGACCTCTTGGTACATGGGTCGACGCTCAACCACTGAGCCACACCAGCCAGGTGATTGCTTCAATTTTTGAAGCCACCTTTAATCCTCCGGGAAGAGGACCATAATATAAATACAGATACATTTGGTGTTTTTTTTTTAAAAAAAGGGGAGAGGTGAAGGGATTAAAAATTACTAATTGGTAGTTATAATATAGTCACAGGGATGTAAGAAACAACATAGGAAATAGGGTCAACAATACTGTAATAATTATGTATGGTACCAAGTGGGCATTTGAACTAAGGAGGGATCACTTTGTAACCTATATGAAGTGTAGCCACTGTACTGTACACCTGAAACTAATACAAACAAGTGTTCAATGCAAATTGTAATAAAAAAATAAATAAAATAAAAGGCAAAAAATATATACATTTGATCGACAGACTGAAGTTGAATGTGACTGCAAACACTGTAGTGGGACTTTCTAGTTACTACCTTGTCCTGTCTGCTGACCAACTCTTTAAAACCCTTGGTCAACTTGCTTCAGACCAGAGGAGAGAACGCGGAGCTGACACTCACCTCTGTTTTGGTGGCACTTAAAGCAAGAAGGGCAAGCGAAAAGGTCAGTTGAGTTTATGTTTGTACATTTAGAACCAGATCCAAATCTCTGTGTTTTGCATTAAAAGCAAGACTTTCACTATAATCTTCTTCTTGCACTACCCCCCCAAAAGTTTTAAATTCTCCAGAAAAGCTATTTTTTCTCCTTCTCAATATGATTATCATAATTCAATCCATAGAGAAGGAACTGGGTGGGAATATATTAACATTTCAATTCAGCTCAAATTAACAATGCAATTTTTTTCTACTTTCCATGTGATAGATGCATAGAGGACTTTTATACTGTAAATGACATCTTGCTGTAGTTGGAAATCTCCCTAATTAATCTTCTGGGGAGACACTCAGTGACCCGGTTCTTGCTTTGTGGAGTGTTGCAAAGGATCACAGGGTTCTCGCCACGTGGTGAACTCTGCCTACAAGGGCACGCAGGGAAAGAGCACATTCTGCTGACACAAAACACCAGAGTACTCTTCAGCTTATGGACCAACAATTGATTTTAAGAGAAACTTTTAACATATTGATGGTTTAGCACATCACCGAGGAAAGCATAAGAGAGGACAACTTTGAAAATATCTTTGTGGAGTCTATTACTGGTAAAGTCATGGTCCTGCTGTTGTTTGAATCACAACTGAATACATATATTGCAGTACCTCTCCAGGTGTTTTGACATCTAAGGGTAACCATGTATATACTCACTGATTGGTAGGTGAGAAATTTGTTGGTACTTGTTTTTTGTTATTTTTTTAACAACTTTTTTTGTAAGAACTAAATCCGCTGAAAAAGACTTTCTGCCCTTCTAGACAGGTTTGTGAATTCACAAGAAATCGCCTTTTGTAAGATGTGGTTCGATGACAACCTCGGTCCCCAGCTGTCCCATACAGTGTGTGAGGACAGCTAGCTGGCAGATTCCCAACCCAAGAGGTGAAACTGCCTTCGCGCCCACAACCTTTCCTCTGTGTTCTGGAATATTTTAAGAGACAAAAGAGAAGGAAAGAACCTCAGAGACATCACAGCCCAAAGAGATCAGTTTAATACATAAAATATCTCCAACGTTTTTTCCTCCCAAGCTGATTTTTTCCAGTGTATCATATAACAGTCATAAATGACCAAACGGAACCCAAACACTGACCAAGATCAGTGCTTTATTAACAGAAAGAAAAATTACAGAGAGAAAAACAGCAAGACACTGACATTATCAAACGGACATTATCTGACATCTGTGAAATTCAAAGCTAAGACGTCTTAGCACTCACAGTCCTGTGTTTCGGGGGATGGCTGCGGCCTGGACAGCCAATCAAACAAACTGAAAATCTAGAATGGAGTTCTTGAGAAACTCGACTGAAGGCACCAACCAGACTGGGTGAAATATAAAATTATAAACAGACTTGGGCACATTAATAACTCAAACTCCAAATTATAAAAGCCAGGGAAAATGTGAATTGCATAAAACTTTTATTATTTATTAGCAGTGTATTCTTCTACACTTTAAAATAGAACAAAATATCTTCTGGAAAGTAAACTATTCATAACAAAATACATGTCAAACAATTTTTATTACTGCAGTACAGTTACTTTGCTGTGTATTTCCTATATTATATACATACTCTTCCTGGTTTGTCTATGTATGTACATGTGTATAAATAATTTTAAGACATACACATGTAGATACATATGACTAATATACACACATAAGTATGGAACATTTACAGTAGTCAATTTACAATCATTTTAAGAGCTGCTCACAAATTAGTGTTCACAGAACTAAACTGTGAGTGTGGTTTCTTTCCCCACTTCTCAAATGTATGGATTACTTTTCACTGATAATTTTTTTTAAAAAAAATACTATCATCGGCCTATACAATTCACCAATCTTTTTTTTTTTTTACAATAACTCATAATAAAATAGTTCACTATTTTGGCTTTAGAAAAGATATAGAATTTAATTCCACAATTTATGATCCCTAAAACATACAATTCATTTTTTTTTATCAACTTAGTGCAATTATTTGGTACTGTCGTTCTTGAAGGTTAACTTAACCACCTGAGTCAAACATTCATTCAAATGCTTGCTTACGAATGTAAAACATAAACAAGATGTTTTGCTCGAGCATGTGTAATAGTCTCAAGGCACCCTCTCCAAATAAACAGGTTATAAATAACTCGATGGGTGAGAGCAAAGCACTTCATATGGATCCACTAAGCCACATGGAGAACTAGGGTCTAAGGTCCCCAACTTCCCAGAGAATGAGGCCTCCAGTCTTCTGGGGGCGTGGAAATAGATCAGACTTACGTGAGGGGTTGAGTGCTTCTGAGGAGTCCCTTCATACTCGTGTGAGGTTTCTGGTAGCCTAGCTGGGTGCCAAGGGTTCCTACTCTCCGTCAACACAGTCTCCCTCGCAGCCTGCTGTCCCGTGTTTTCCTCGGTGGACTTAAAAGTGGTGCCCGGCCACGCGCGCCAGGCAGCCGTGCCCCGTACCACAAGCAGACTATTCTCACGGCTGCGGGGCTCTTCCGAGACAGGAGAGGAGCGTGGGGAACGCTGAGTCCTTCGCGGGGAAGCCAAGCCTCGGGAGAAACGTCAGTGAACTCCGATCTTCGGTGGGAGGCTAATTTTGCTCAAGCCCGAAGGCCGCAAAACTAAATGGCTCAGCAACAAAAACAAAGGGAAAATGGTCTAAATAAGCCAGCTCGAATGATTATGCTCTGGCTAGAGATAAACCTGGAGAAACTCCTCACCTTGGACGGAATTCCCAAGACAACGGCTGCCCTGCCACATTGTAGTGGGAACATAAAATCACTTGCTAAAAACCTTCTCCCTTACTTCTTCCTAACAGAGAGGAATTATGTATTCATCGTCGACAAAACCATACTAAACAACTTCAAAATACAAATTTTTGGTAACAAAGAGCAAGAAAATCTAAGTCAAAATATAGTCTAGCTTTTACATAATTTTATATATTTATAAATTTATCAAAATAGGCTTTTAAGGTTCACAATACATATATAATGTAACACTGTACATGTAAATGTAATAATAAATGTATTCCCGCAATACATTAAAAATAACCCTTCGAAATACCAAACTCAACGTTAAGACTGCCTCAGCGGCTGGTCAGCACAGTCCCAGGCATCTACAGTAGTCACTGGCCAGAAGCGCCTGGCTCCAGTCTCTCGAAGGTCTGATCTTAGTGCTCTTTGATTTGGGTGGGAGCAGGGCTCCCGCGGCAAGCAGCTGCGTTCTCTCGCGTTGCTCATCCAGGTGAAGACGGTGCATCTAAGACCAGCTTTCCCCGGAGTGGCAAGGCCTTAGTAATGAACATACTCAGACTGAAGGGACTGTGCAGGGGAGAGACATAAAGTGAGGTTAAATTCCATCCCAATAACACTCCTAGCACATCACATAACTTCTCCGTCAACACAAAGCAGTCTGGGTCTATCCCATAAAAGATAAAGGAAATTAACTAAGAAAAAAATATATAAGAGAAACAAAGCATTGGCCAAGAATGAGATATTCAATTAGGAAAGTGATTGCAAGTAAAGTTTATATTTTAAAAGGCTTACTGCCCGGCCGGTGTGGCTCAGTGGCTCAGTGTAAACCCATGCACCAAGAGGTCACCGGTTCGGTTCCTAGTCAGAGCACGTGCCCAGGGCATGAGCCAAATCCCCAGTGGGGGGCATGCAGGAGGCAGCCAGTCAATGTTCTCTCTCATCGATGTTTCTATCTCTCTCTCTCTCTCTCTTCCTCTCTCTAAAATCAGTAATGAAAAGAATACTGATAAAAGCCTTGCTAACTTGCCCTGGCTGGACGGCTCAGTTGGCTGGAGTGTCACCCCATATACCAGAAGGTTTCGGGTTTGATTCCAGGTCAGGGCACACGTCCAGGATTCAGGTTCAATCCCTGGTCGGCGTGCCTACGGGAGGCAACTGATCGATGTTTCTCACAACAATGTTTCCAATGTTTGTCTCTCTCTCTCTCTTTAAAAGAAAATCAATAAACATATCCCTCAGGTGAGGATTAAAAGGCTTACTAACTTATTAATAGTGATGAAAATTAAGTATTATTTGAAAATAAGTAGGTAGCACTAAACTCACTTCCATGCTTTTGTGCAATAATATTGGATTTTACTCAAAAATAGTAAATGACATCTGTTACTAAACTGGAGATGATTCAAATATACTTTAAGAACATATATACTTTTAAATGCAATGCAATATGTATCAAATGAATGTTACTGCTTCTAATGCAGTAGAATGGGCAGCATTTAAATAAAATCCTTGAGAATGGGTGAATTTAATAAAAATATCTCACAAATCCTTTCCACTTGGGTGGACACGAAGCATAACAAGGCATTTGTGTGGAAGAGTCCAGCATCCTAAGAAGCACTGGGCAAGTTTCAATGCGAGTTCTTCCTTGTCTTACTAGATAACTGACATGTAAAAAGAACATGTAGGGATATGTAATCAGAATGCACTGATAGTCAAAATAAAGCCGGAAAAGAGAGAGGCAAGGAAAATCTGCCTAATAGTTATTTCTGAGCTGCAAACAGCAGTTAGAAGAAACACAAATCATTTAAATATCGACAGAATTTCTTGCACAATTTTTCTAATCAAATACTTCAGAACAAGGTCTCCTTGATTTGCTAACAAATGCCTTTTTCTCCTCCCCCAATAATTATTTTCTTTTTCTTTTTTTTGTATCCTCACCCGAAGACATTTTTCCATTTTTTGTTCAGATAGAGTGGGAGGGAGAGAGAGAGAGAAACATCGACGTGAAGGGACACATCGAGTGGCTGCCACCCGCACGACCAACCAGGGCCAGGGACAAACTGCAACCGAGGTACGTGCCCTTAGCGGGAACTGAACCCAGGTCTCTCTGGACCACAGGTTGATGCTCTAACCGCTGAGTGAAACTGGCCAGGGCACCGATAATTATTTTCAAATTGGTCTGCAGCATTTCATTAACAGGTGTTATCATTTCTGAGACTGGTTCATTTTATTGATGATATAGGGATCAGTAAAAAGGAATCTGTCCACTTTGCAAATAATTTACTAAAGGATTCAAAAAAATCTTTGTTCACCTTCAAAATCCCAGAATTTTATATCCTATCAACAGCCATTTACTAAGTAGGTCTCTATCAACACCATGAGTCAAAAGTTATGGTCCCTGCGCCCTCCATGAGCAAACCACACTCTCATACAGACGTAAAATGAGAAGACAAAGGTGTCAACATTAAATAATAACATCTACAGGGTGAGAGTAACATTGTGCACAAGTAGAAAATTAGGCAAGGGGTGGTCAGGGAAGGTATTGGGGTGGGGGTGGTACCCAAGAAGAAGTGAAACATTAAGAGCAACTAGAAAGAATGAAAAAGCCTGGCGAGGTGTGATTCGTGCCAGGCCTTCAGGAGCGATGGCCCAGAACTGGGGCACTGCGGTGTAAACAGCGCACAGAGGGTGAAAGACTGAGAAAGTCCTGCGACACCGGCCAGCGTCTTGAAGCCCAAACACATTGGAGCTGTCAGATATCAGTTGCCATCCCAGCAATTAGAGCTTTAAAAATGGACTATCATTTTTCTAGCTGCTTTTTCCCACTTTCTTCAGAAGTCTGGCAAAATGTGAAGCAGACAGGACTGGGTGGTCCCAGCTGTGGAAACATCACACGCTTCTGTTCCAGTTAGAAAAGTTACTCGTTACCCCCACATTGAGGCTTCTCTCTCCCGCTCTCTCTCTCATAAAAGGGGTGGGGGTGTACCAGCAATGACGATGAACATGAAGGACATGAGATCTGAGGCATAAATATTATTTTACAAAGTAGCATGTATGTATATAACCAAGATATTTTAATTACTCAAATAGCATATTCGGTTTCATGTGACCAGTAAGCTCAATAGGGTTATAATGAGTTAAGACCAGATCAAGTTCATCATGAATATTTGCTATTTTGTGGTATGCATAGCATAAAATTAATAACACAGCAATATTCAACCTGGAAAATAAGAGTAAAATTACCTCACACATGTAGCCCCCCAAATTTCCAAATTTTTCTGTCAAAATATAAGCTTCCATGAAGAAGTCTTGTTCCCTAAAAGCAGTTAGATTCGACATAAAACCAAGTGCTAGGTAAGGAGATCAAGACAATTTGTTCTTTTCTGGAAATGTGCTACTAATCTGTTTTGGCAGATGTAGGTAGTAGCGACTTTTAGCATTCAGCTGTTCTGGGGGTGTTTCTTTTTTAAACAGCCTAGTTACCTAATCATGGTGAAAAACATCTAATGATTATAGACATAAATACGGACAGATCGTTAATAAATAAAACTGTAAGATAGCTATCAAAAAACAGCAAAGTGTAAGGAATAATGAAGAATTAAGGTCTGGCCCTGGCCGGTTTGGCTCAGCGGCTGCAGCATCGGCCTGTGGATCAGAGTCCTGGGTTCAGTTCCTGCTAGGGGCTCATACCAAAAAAAAAAAAGAAACATTAAGGTCTGAACGAAACAATATCTTCATGTTCAAAAAGGGCCCTGTGACCCGGACTGTTAGCTTCCTACAGGTCAGATTGCTGACACAGAATCGCCACATGCTCTGTCACACTCGGTTTCCCTGCGTCTCCCCATTTCTCCAAGTCTCTTCAGGAAGGAAAAACCGTGTGCCTGTCACCCTTGGCTGGAGTTCTAACTACAGGGGCAAACACACCTTTAAAAACGTTTTGTTTTAATGGCACAGATAATTCAAGGGGACAAAAGCACATGTTTGGGAATACGACGTCTTATTTTACATTTAACTCCAGTGTTTTACGTTTTAATAAGCAAATGGAAGGAATGGACACTGGACGGAAACGCTCCTCTGTAACCCGTACAATCCCGGTCTCGGTTCCGCTCTCTCCAGCTTTCATGTTGCTTCTAAGTTAGCAACATACAAAGTGTGGACTGATAGCCCTGGCCGGTTTGGCTCAGCGGTTAGAGCGTCGGCCTGCGGTCCAGAGAGACCCGGGTTCGGTTCCCACTAAGGGCATGTACCTCGGTTGCAGTTTGTCACCGGCCCTGGTTATTCGTGCGGGTGGCAGCCACTCGATGTGTCCCTTTCACATCGATGCTTCTCTCTCTCTCTCTCTCTTTCTCTCTCTCTCCCTCTCCCTCCCTCCCTCTATCTGAACAAAATATCAAAAAATGTCCTCGGGTGAGGATTTAAGAAGAAGTGTGGACTGATATTTCCACCAAGGTGGCTTCACAATACCGAAAGTATTTGCCTTTGCTAAATGATAACACTTTTCCAGTAACACCAGTAGAAACACAGCTGAACAAGACTTTTTGGAAATAGTAACACAAGAAGCTTGGGATAAAATCAGCCTGAAAGAGGTGTATCCATTTTTTTGTAATGTTCGCTAAGCATTTGAGGGACCACAAGGACATGCCAATTTGGGTTAACTAAAATGCTATCTAAAAGATTCTTTCACCTTCCTATATAACTTTTAATAGATTCCCTAGTTTTTTCTGGGGGGATTTGATCTGTTTTTCACACAGAGCGTTCGATCGTTAGGTGACAGGTTGTTGACACCGACTCAGCTCATCCAACCATTAGGTGTGTTTTCGGTTCATCTGAATACCAAAATTATATTTACATTTTCCAAATAAAATAGACTTTCTCTTATATTAGTAAAGCTGCATTTGTAGAAACTAAAGCCTCAGGTGACTGTCTATTAAAGCCAGAGCTGAACTCTCCGCTTGCTTTTCCTGAGCATTTCGGAAGCCAACAAGGGTGATGTGCTCCAAACACCTTCCCTTTGCTTAACCTTCGTGAACCTCAGTATATTATCCAACTTTTAGTTCAGTAAATAGTTTTTGGCGCTGCTATACCTTGGAACCTGAGAAAACAACGAGGCCTCCGAGACCCCGCAGAGCCAGCAGGGGGACAGAATGGAGAGCAAGGTGGGATGTGGACAGTCCCAGGAGAGTCCAAGGAGAGGGCACTGCCCCTGGATGGGCACAGATGCTTCATCAGAAAGGTAGCTGCTGAGCCGTCGGGACGCCGAGGTCCAGCAGAGGTGCAGGAAGAACCGGGGGAAGCCCAGGTGCTGGGGTGGGCAGGAGGCAGGTGTCTTGCCCGTGCAGAGCCACTGGCGAGGGGTGGGCCAAGGTGGCACGGATGACCCGGAACGTGGGTGAGCCATCAGCAGTGCTTAGCTCGCTCGCACGGCAGTGGGAGGGCGGAGATGACAGGCCAGAGACTCGGGCCGGGGGAGGCCTGCGGGCTCCCACAGCACTGGGCAGCTCTGGGTGGGCACGACAGCACCTGGAGGCTGGATGTGGCCGAGGGAGACACAGGGGGCGTTCAGAGATCATTCCAGGTGTGCAGCTGCGATGGCTGGACACAGAGAGGCGATCACTCACAAAGCCAGGAAACAAAACGAGGAGGAGGCAAGTGAAGTAATGCCCCACGGAGGCAGGTCCATGGCTCAGGAGACAAGTCCCCAGAGAGCAGTGGGCCAAGGGCAGAGCCTTGGGGAAATCAGGAAATGAGAGGGGGGGATGACAAAAGTAGCAGGAAAAAGGGTAACACTGTCACATGCTGCAGGAAGATTAGGCATGAGGACCGACCAGGGACCGTCAGGTCCGGCCTTGATGTCTGTGGCAGCTGTGGGCGTGATTTTCACCAGAACACGATGGTGGGGGGGGGGTCTATCTTGCTCCACGATTTTATAGTTAAATTTTCATTTACAAAAGTAAATATATCATTTAAAAATTTATAATAAAAATGTGGTAGAGCTATTGGTCATATATGATTATTTAACAGTATCAACATCATGATGCAGTAAAACAGAACACTTGTCGAGAAGCATTGCATTGACCCAAGGTGCCTGCTGAGGTAGGGCCTGGGGACCGCAGATCAAGCCCAGACGAGTCCCCTGCCTCAGGCTCTTCGGAGAGCTGTCATCCACAGGACACCAGAACCACCTCACCAGGTCGGATCTGGAGTCACTCCCGCTGACACGGTGCCCAAAGCCCTGTGCAATCTACTTGTGATTTATCTCAATCGTCACAACCACCCTGTCACAATGATATTTTCATGGCCACAGGCACAAAAACCTCTTCAAAGCACACCGTCAGATGTTGGTGCAAAATTTACAAAAGAAGTACTTTGTATTCTTCATCTTAAACAGGTCTTAAATAGGTCCCACCAAACTGCATGAGAGGCAGGGTGCAGGAAACCCGGATCTGCCCCCTGAGGACTAGTGTAATCATTCCTCCCAGGGCAGAGAGATACACAACTTGACAAAGTACTGGCCCAGGAAGGGGCAGACACAGGATTCGCACCAAGGTCTCCCTAAGTACGAAACTACCGTCTGAGGCTGCTCTGTTCCTGCTCTCCTGAAACAGCCACTCCTCCTCTTCCTCTTTCATCACTGGATTCCTCGCAGGCTCCTACTCATCCTCCAAAGCCCAACCAAACACTTCCTCACAGCTTTCCCTGACCCTCCTGGTCAAGTGAGGCATCCTTTGGGTCTCCCTTGTTTTAAGCACTACCACAGTACAGACATGACATAACGTAATCACAAGGACATGCTTTTGGAGTCAAACTGACCTGGGTTCGAATGATGGCTCTGTTGCAAATTTGGGGCACAATCTGGGACCCTCAAGTTATTCATCTTTAGAATGGGAGCAACAGCCCTCACCACATTCACTGCCGTAAATGCCCAGCCCTGCACACAGCCATCGGGAAGCACCTGATGTGCACCTACTGTGCGCGGGCACAGAGCACGGGCTGCAGCACCGGACACGCAGCCGATTCAATGCAGTGAGGACAGAGGAGCCCAGGACCCAGAGCTAATGGGACGCACCACGACATAACCTGGGCTCCGGGGTCAGGTAAGGATCATGTAGATGCAGTCAACTCAGTGGTAGGTCTCTTAATAATAAAATAGATGGAATATTCCAGACAGATACCACAAGTAATTTCAACTTGATGAAACACTTCCCCACCCACACCCTATCACACACCCCTCACTTCTCAGCACTGGAGAGCGCCTGACTGTCAGGGAGAGCGCTGGTGGTTCACAGTAAGTGGGTCTGTGAAGACGAAACCTCGCCCCTGCTCTGGGCAGCTGAACCTCCAGACCAGCAGAAGAGGCCAAAGAAACAAAACAGGCCCCAGCGCTTCTCGGCACTGCCACAAGGGCGCCCCGCCATCGTCTGCGGTCTGCGCTGAGACCCTTGGTGACAGGCAAGGGCATCAGTGCTGCGTTCTGTCTGGGGGCTGAGCTGCTGCAGAGAATGCAGCTTTCAAGCGAGGTGCTAATTGCAGCTTCTAAAATATTAGACTCCCTCGGAACACCTGTCACCCCCACGCCCTAGGAGCTTCTGGGTCTTCTTCAAGGTACGGGGAGGTTGCCACACAGACTTCCTGTCCTGCCTGAGGATTTAAAAACACTGCTGAGTGATTTGCTCCCAGCTCTTCGAGGGCCACATCTCCAGAAGCGTGCAAAAGGAGGACCATGTCGCTTAGACAAGGAGCCCACAACCGTGAGAAAAGCTGCATTGGGCCGGCGGGAAAAATTCAAACCTCCTGCTTTATGCCACATGAAACGGGAATCTCCGCCCTAATTTAGACTCTCTGCCAGCAGGGGTAGGGTGGGGAGCCTTCCCCCCGAAAAGACAGCAGGCTTTTTTAAGGCGAAGATAAAGGGGGGAAAGTCAGTTCCATAAATCCTGCTGCTGTCTCCTGGGAGGGTCGGAGGAGGGAAATGCTATCATGCTGGCAACTCTATTCAGAAATGAAGGGAGAGGAGAGGGAACCAGCAGCCACCCCCACGCAGACTATTACTTCCAATTTAATTACTGGAAAATTACTCTATCCCGGCCAGAAAAGGAGATGAGGAGGAGGAGAAGAAAAATAAGAAAATATAGACTGAAACCAAAATTAGGTTATATAAACATGGAGGAAATGAACAGTTATCCAAAGAACCCCACTAGCAGAGAGGGAACGAGACCCAGAAAGCAGAATGCTCCTTTCCAGCGACCAAGGCTCCTGCTCCTCCACTGTGAACCCGGGCCGCACAAAAGCTTCAGCCACGATCTCTGCGACGTGCTTACACCTACGTGTTTACACGTCTGTCTGTCTGACACTTTCTCTCAAAGGGGAAAATCTGGACTCCGGTCTGGAAAGAGGCTGACCCCCCCAGTATGTGAAAACGCCGACAGGACTCAATTCCTGCCGTGACGGGTTCGACCTTCGCACCAGTCACGACGCACAAACCAGGATGGGTCCCCAGCTAATCCAAGGCTCCTGGGGCTGCACAGTCTTACGACACGCTCACCCACATAGTGAGACTCGATCCCGTGAATGGCGAGTGAAATGGCGATTGCTGGGGCCCTAATCTATACAGGAATTGAGAATAATGTTTGAAAATATTCTTGGGAATAAAATTCGATGGGGAAAATTCTATGTGCTAGAAAGGACTGTGTGTGGATAGAGGGAAAAAACTTTGACAGAGGTCTGAGGTAGAGATGGGTGTGGTCCTGAGTTCAACCAACACATGCACACACATGCACACACACACAGATGCGCACGCACGTAATATGCACACACACGCACACATAGGCACACACGCACACACACAGAGATGCGCACGCATGCACATATGCACACACACAGGCACACACATGCACACACAGGGACACGCGCGTGCACACGCACACACAGGTGCGCACATATGCACACACAGGCACACACATGCACGCACACACACGTATATGCACACACACTGCATCTTCATGTTAGAAACTGGTTTCAATCTGCCATCTGAGGAAGTGGGTCCCACTAGCTGTCCTCCGTGGGGCTACCACTCCACTGAGTGGGCGAGAGGCTCGGGCCACCGGCACGTCTCCTCCTCGCCCACAGAGGCCAGCCTCTCCCCGGACAACGCGAAGGAAACGCCTGGAGAGCAGCGGCCCTGAGGGTGACCCCAGAGGCGCACTGAGCCCGCAGGGAGTCGGCGTGGCCAGCAGGCGGGCCTGCAGCGCCCTGACCCAGGCGAGCGAGCTCTCCTTCCTCGCTTGTCCTGGTCCCGCCAGGCAGGGCCACCTTCCCAGAGCTCCCAGCACCCTCTAGGTCATCAAAGTCCGGGACCCCCAGCAGGGGTGAACCCACAGATTTTACCCCAAAAAAGGCCCGTGGGAATTACGGAAGGGCTACCGCCTGAATAGAGACGCGGGGGGGGGGTGTCTGCAGAGTGTCCACCCTGTCCTGGGGGGTGACAGCGCATTCGAACCGTCTTCCTGAGCCTCTGCGTCCCCTCCTCCGCACCCCAGGGACCCTCATGAGCCTCCTATGCTCACCTTCCAGTGGCCACTAAATTAATTCTAGGCCAGTTCTCTGAGGAGGGGACACATTCAAGGACCCAAGGGTCAGTTCTGAGAAGACATTGTTCAAGTCCCACGATTCACCCGTCAACACCTGACACGGAAGAGGCCGGGACCCCTGAGGCCACCCCGCCCCAGCACACCTGTGTCTGTCACGTGAACCAGCTCCTGGCCCTGTGGCAGACCCGCAGAGCGACGTGAAACCCCACAGAGACGAGGGGAACAGCAGCTGAGAAGCAGTGCGAGGAGAGGAAGGAAGAGCCGGTGGACAAGGGCGTTTACTGAAGGGGAGCCGGCGGGTGGAACAGAGGTGCCCAGGCAGCCACGGCCCAGAGGGAGGGCAGTCAGAAGGCCTCCTTGGTGCTGTTGAATTTCTTGGGTGGCAGTCTGGGCAGGGACGTCGAGGCATGGAAGCTGCGATCAGGGTTGTGGGGGCCAAGAGGTGGTGTCTGCGAACTTACGGGGATGGAGCGGCTCAGGAACCTGGCCGAGGAGGACGACAGGCCGGTGTAGGAGGGCCGGAGGATGGTGGCGGCGGTGACGGCGGCCAGCTCCTCAGTCTTGGCACCCTGGGGGCCCAGCTGGCTGCTCTGGGTGCTCCCGCTGCTGCTGGGGCTCCGGCTGTACTGGTTGTTGTTGAGTTCGGGGTAATTTCTGGAAGCCGCCTGGGAGCTGCCATTCAGGAGGTTGGTGAAGGGGTTGGCTACAAACCCCGCCTTGGAGGGTGAGGTCTTTCTGTTCTCGGGGTCATCTGTGGCGGCATTCAAGTTCCCTAGAGAGCTGGCTAGCCGGGAGTTTATGGAGAAGCTGGATGGAAAAAACAGGTGAGGGGAACAGGCAGTGATGGACACCAGAGCTCATGTCTACAACACGCACTGACGACATGGGGGGAATGTGAGGAGACAGTTCCAGCCAACACGCAGGCCACAGTGGCGTCCTGACCACTCTGGGGAGATTATACTACGTGGCCTTTAGTTAGATTCATTCACTTCCTCTGTCCAAAGCCATGGAGACCCAAGGAGCTGCCTGAAACATGAGACCCAAGATCAGGGCGCTACGGGTCCTGGGCCCGGGGGTAATAAAATATGGAAGCAGAGCGTGGAAAGCGTAAGATTTAAGTCACACACATTTGATCACATGACTAAACGAACCGTCCCTGCCCACCCTGGGGGGAAATGACAACCAGATGTCTCCTTAACACATATAACTCAACTCCGATTTCAAATTAGGCAACCTATAGAAGAGGGTGCTGTACACCACATCCTCCATGACCTTGTGCCCCCCAACAAAAGACAGGGGCTGAAGCCCAGAGATCAAGGAGCCTGCTGTGGTTTCTCCCCTGCCCCCCGGTCCCTCCTCGGACCAACTCAGCCCCGCGCACTGCCGCTGACTTCTTCTGTCTCCCACCAGGACCTGGGAAGGGGGAGAAAAAGTACCTTCTCATATTGGTGCCCGAGGACAAGGAGCCTCTGTTGATCCTCTTGGCTGTTGCGGAAGGGGATGAAGCCACTTTGGAGATCTTCAGAGTAGATCCGGATCCTTGTGGGGAAGAAGTCAATCTTTGGGGAGAAAAATGGGCCAAGGGTCATACGAAAGCTGTGTCATCTTGACGTCCAGCAGTCGACTACAACATAACCGGTAAGCATTGAAGAAGTCACAGCGGGTCCAGGTCCCTTCGACCGCGGCGGCCAACACTGAGACACGCCACGCCGGGCGCTCCTCTGAGCCTGGCAGACATCAGCTTGCTCAGCCTCACTCTGCTGAGGGAGTGGAGCACAGGGGAGAAGCGCCTGGTCCAAAGCCGCTGGGAGCACGTGGCGGAGCTGGGGTCAAGCCGGACCCCAGGCCCTGCCTTCACCACACCCGCCATCCTTGGTCCCGCCCCTCCTCGCTGCTGACCTCTGTCCTCCTGCATCCTGTAGTTTGCATCTGTCCTCTGCTTCCACCAGCAACTGCTCTAGGTGAGGTCACTGCTTAACTTATCGATATTAGTTGCATCTTTTCCTCTTATTCCCTAAAATTCTAATTCTGAAGATCCTCCAGCGAAAGAACCCTAAAATATCTGATCGTGTTGCTTCACTGTTGAAACCACTCATGTTCCCTCAGTGCCCAGACAGCCTGACCTCGGCTTGGCTTCTGCAACCCCGCAGGCCCTGGTATTACTCGCTGAGCAGGCCAGAGCACCCCCCACCCTGCTCCAGCTACACAGGCTGAGCAGGCCTAGCACCCCCCACCCCTGCTCCAGCTACACAGGCTGAGCAGGCCAGAGCACCCCCCACCCCTGCTCCAGCTACACAGGCTGAGCAGGCCAGAGCACCCCCCACCCCTGCTCCAGCTACACAGGCTGAGCAGGCCTAGCACCCCCCACCCCTGCTCCAGCTACACAGGCTGAGCAGGCCAGAGCACCCCCCACCCCTGCTCCAGCTACACAGGCTGAGCAGGCCTAGCACCCCCCACCCCTGCTCCAGCTACACAGGCTAAGCAGGCCTAGCACCCCCCCCCCACCCTGCTCCAGCTACACAGGCTGAGCAGGCCAGAGCACCCCCCACCCTGCTCCAGCTACACAGGCTGAGCAGGCCAGAGCACCCCCCACCCCTGCTCCAGCTACACAGGCTGAGCAGGCCAGAGCACCCCCCCACCCTGCTCCAGCTACACAGGCTGAGCAGGCCTAGCACCCCCCACCCCTGCTCCAGCTACACAGGCTAAGCAGGCCTAGCACCCCCCCACACCCTGCTCCAGCTACACAGGCTGAGCAGGCCAGAGCACCCCCCACCCCTGCTCCAGCTACACAGGCTGAGCAGGCCAGAGCACCCCCCACCCCTGCTCCAGCTACACAGGCTGAGCAGGCCAGAGCACCCCCCACCCTGCTCCAGCTACACAGGCTGAGCAGGCCAGAGCACCCCCCACCCTGCTCCAGCTACACAGGCTGAGCAGGCCCCAGTGCCCCACCCCCAGCCCAGCCGCTCCAGCTGCACAGCGCTGGCCTGCACTCACACCCTGGCCTGCACTCACACCCTGGCCTGCACTCACACCCGCGTCCAGGCTGTCCCACAGGCGCCCCTCCCCTGCTGTGTCTCCCCTGCCTCCTCCGCCAGACTCACTCCTACTGCTCACCCTTCAGTGGCCCAGCCCACGACCTCCCAGCAGCCTCACTGACTTCCCAGGCAGGGGCACATCCTGTCTCCTCGTATCTTTTCACGGTAAATCTTTGTTTTCATGTCATATTTCACTGTCTGGTCTTTGTCTATTTCCCTTGACATAAGGTCCAGTGGGAGCAAAGCCCTGTCTCTCATTTCGGTTCCCAGTGGCAGCCGCTTGCTGAGCGGACAGAAAGGGGGGAGTGCACTCCGATGAGACAGCCTGGGCGGGCATGGCTACAACCTGGCTCCGGGACATGCCCCTGCTGTGCCCTGTCTGCTGCAGAAAAGCCTGTCCGCCCCCCAACAGCAGCTCTGCCTGGTGCGCCTCAGACCAGCTTCTGGAGAAGTCGGGGCCTCTCAGGACCGCCCCCACCAGCCAACCCTACCCCTGCGGCTCAGTAAGAAGAGGCGAGGCGGGACCAGCTTTCTCTCCCTATGGTCACACCCCTCTCCTGCCCTCACCAAGCCCTGCCCTGGGTCCTGGCCCCGCCGGCGGCCTGACACAACCAGGGAACACTCGGGACACTTCTCCAGAGAAAAACACTGACAAGAAAAAAAAAACGACAAACAGAAAATAAAAGAAGGGCAACAAAGACATGCAAACTAGGAAAGAGGAGAAACAGAAACGTTATCAACTCAAAGCAAAAGCGAACACGACATTGAGGGAGCCAGGCAGGCAGCGCTGCCGACCAGACCCCCGTGTGCTGGGGGCTCCGAGGTCGCTGTGCAGCCACACAGCTCGTGGCAGCTCAGGAGAGCAAACCCCTTCCCTGGGGGTATGGAAACGAACCCACTGTGACAGGAAGGAAGGAATTTGTCAAGGGAACGCTGTGCGCAGCCCAGTGTCACGGGTGTGAGGCTGGGCGTGCGTGTCAAGGCCGAGTTATGTACAAGCCACTAGAAATGGAACTTCAGTCACGGTACCTGAAAGGCTGGGACATGGCCCTCGGGTGCCCTTTAATATCGTCCAACCTGCAGAAAGGAAGACACTGCTCAGGCATCCGCGGGCCACGCGCTCCATCACAGGGGGAGGCGCACGTGGACACAAAGCAGCGAGACAGTGAACGGGCAAAAGGGAGACCCTCACAAATGGATATTAGCATCATTCACTGTAAAATACTCCCCAGAACCAGCAGAAGCCTTCTGCAGTCATTTTGTTTCATCTTGAATTCCATTTATAGCAAACTGCTTTTTAATCAGAAAGTGGTATTGCATCCACTCAGGGCAAAAAATGTCGGTACGAAAAACTAAATTCCAAAAATATGCGAAAATTTCTGAGACTGAAAAGTAAACAGAAAAATCGTATTGGAGAGAGCTTTCTAAGATATGTGTAGTGGGAATTCTCTCCTTTCCCCTACTTGTTTGCCAAGTTGTATTCCAACTTGTCCCTTCCTCATCCTTATGCTTTCTTAAGAATCAAATATAAACGTTTGAAATGAACTGTAATCAAGATAAAGCCTTTCTTGGAGTTTCCAGGGGAAACTGGCAGATAAAAGAAATCGGTAACCGGGAGCCCTGGCCTCAGGGGTGGGGGAATTGGGGGTTGGGGGAATTGGGGGTTGGGGGTGGGGGGAGGGGGGATCCCGGAAGGATCGAGGAGCAGCGCCCGCCCGGGAAGCAGCTGATGGCCCAGCAGTTTAAGACGGAATTTTCAAGACAGATGCAGAAGATGCTTTCAATAAGTTTCTAAAATTTAACTCCTCCCCATGATGGCCAAATATAACACAAAATAGTAATAAACCAGAAAAAAGAACGCGGTAAACCAGGACTTGTACAACAATACTCAAAGACAAGGCTAGTTCACGTGCATGTCAACGCCAAGTGGACCTACCTGAGCGCGCAGGGCGGTGAGGAGCGCGGCTGCCTCTGGCTCTTTAAGGCACGCAGTCTGTCTCCCTGGGTGATGCTAGTTTTCATTTCTACATCTTCATCCTCTTCTGAATTATTCTGGAAAAAGCAGTGCATGTCCCATAGAAGGGTCATTGGGGATGGTTTGGCCTCATAAATTTTGTGCTAGATTATAGGTTGTCTCTGCATGTAGGTGTGTTTTATGCAGATCATGGCCCATCGCTTCAATGCCCCGTGAACCCATTGTTCACGTGGATACTGAAGAATGCTCCACGGAGGAGGATGTCAAGGACACCATCCGGAATAGAACACAGTCAGCAATATTGTTACGGATGATGTATGGTAGAGGTGCACACCTGAAACCTATGTAAGTTTATTAACCAATGTCACCCCAATAAATTAAATTTTAAAAAAGAACTTAAAAAGTATTATAATAACTAAGTATGGGGTCAGGTGGGTGATCATGTCATCAATTACACAAATATCGAATGCTGTACACCTGAAACTATTATATTGTATGTCAACTGTAATTAAAATTTAAAAAAAAAATTTTTTTTTTTAAGAATGCTCAACTATTCACCAGTGAGCAGTACTGGTCAAATTCCCCATCGAAGACGCATGGACACGGATGGGATGAGAAGGAGCTGCTTGTCACCACGAACCACCCGAGACTCTGCAGGCCAACGCAGCCGGGAATCCAGCGTGGACACAGACTGGTCAGCAGATACCGTACAAACATACTTCCAGAAACTACTGGAACCCAGCAGAGAAAATTCCATAACTTGTTTACTTAACGAAAGATAAAACATTATATAGTCACTTATTTACATCATCTAACGCTAGTAAACGCACTAAAGTCCTTTCCAAAAGGAGGTAAAGCTCACGGAGGGGGTGAGGGGATAGTGAATTTCCTGCTGAAATAACCTTTAGTTTCAAAAATACATACGTGCCCTGCGTGGTCTTTCCCACGCTGGCCCACCCTCACACCCTGGGAGGCGGGGGGAGAACTGTGACCCTCAGCTGAAAGATGGACAGGAGGAGGTGTTCATGGAAGTCACGAGTATTGCCCAAGCTCCCAAATGTTTTGTACAGAGCTGTGATTTTTTTTTTTAAATCCTCACCCGAAGACATTTTTGCATTTTTCTTCAGATACAGCGGGAGGGAGAGAGGAGGAAGAGAGAGAGAGAGAAACATCGACGTGAGAGACACCACCGAGGCCGGGGAAAAACTGTAACTGAGGTAGGTGTCCTTAGCGGGAACCGAACCGGGGTCTCTCTGGTCCACAGGCCGACACTCTAACCACTGAGCCAAACTGGCCAGGGCCAGAACTGTGATTTTAAAATCTGATGTCTTGTCCTCAGATGCAAGGTCCTTTCTGAAAGCTGTCACAGCACACTTACACTGCACCAGTAATGATTGTGGTTTGCCCATTTCCTCGCCTGGAAAAAATGGAAGGGTCCGTATTTGCTAAGACTCCTTCCAGCCCTAACAGTCCTCCTCTCTCTCTCTGTACAGCTTCAACTCTTATTTGATGAAAGATACACAAAGCTACATGCTAGTCATTTCTGATAGCCATTCCCTGACACCAGTGTGGGGTGCATGGGGGTACACCTGGGGCTCCATAGGCATATCCTGGGTGAGACCTCCCACACCCTACAGCTGAGTTGAAAGAAGACAAAAGACATAGGGAACACACAGCCAGTGGAACAGAGGCAGAGACAATGGTGACAGCTGACAGCGGCCTACAAGGGGCAATCCCTAGGGAGCGCTAAAGAGTGAGTGTAAGTCAAACCAGCCAAGGTCACTGGAAGGGGCCTGCCAGGAACCCCAGCGTCACGTGACTTGTTTTTTTTTGTTTGTTTGTTTTTGTTCAGAGGGAGAGAAAGGAAGAGAGAGAGAAACATCAACATAAAAGGGACACTGCCACCCACACGACCCAACCAGGGCCGGGGACAAACTGCAACCGAGGTACGTGCCCTTAGCGGGAACCAAACCCAGGTCTCTCAGGACCCCAGGGTCTCGTAAAGAACAAAGAACAGTAGAAAGTGTGAAGCTATATTTTATTCCTCCAGTTGTTCTGTCTACATAGATGAAATGAAACCAAAGTATAACCAGGTCAGTGTTGTCCGGCGACTTCAGTTGGATAAAGCAGTAGCTGACTGACTCCGGAGAGGCAGCTCTGTGAGCCTTAGAAAAAGACCCATTCGAGAAAATACTGCCACCAGGGCACAAAGAGGGAAGAGCTGCTGTAGAAAATGACGGAAGAGGAGAGCTTGAAATAGAAGTGAGTAAAAATAGAACTGAAAGGATTGGAAGACGACGAGAAAATGGAATTTTTAGCAGGCTGAAATGTGGCCTGGAAGCGTGGGTGGGCCAGCTCTAGAACTCTTTCCAGCTCTCCAGTTTGAATGTATGAGATGCAAAAGTTGTGGAAAGGCAAAGATCATGTTTATAATAAGTGGCTTCTGATCAATAAAATGTCTGGGTTTAGCAGAGCCCCCAAGTCCGTCCTCTCCCTCCTCGCTGCCACTGTGCAGACCTCTGTCCCCTGGCCTTCCGCCCCGGCCGCATGGGCACCTCCTCCCACACCACTGCTGGGTGACCTCCCCAAACGGCGACTGTGCACGGTCACTCCCCTAACACTCAGAATGGCCCTAAGAATAGAGAGAAACGTGCTGACATCGGGCCTCAGAGGCTTCGCTTTGACCTCGTGGATTTGCACCCGGGATGCACCCGGCTCGTGAGCATCTGACAAGTACATTCAACTCAGTGGTGAGGGTTTTATAAGTTGCAGGATCTCAGTGATATAATTACAATACTACATACTTATTTACCTGCTGATTTACGGGAACTCATACCGGACTATTGCCTGGAGTAGGAAAAGGTCAAGCAACCACAATTCCAGGAGGAATGTACTAGGACAGGCTGCCTAAGGCCGTGTTCCAAACCACGGCATGTACGGACAGAAGCCACAGTGAGACCGCAGGGAGAGGCGGCGGTGACGGGGCGGCTTCCAGGAGGGCTGCTGAGGGAGACCCCGGAGCCAGAGCGCCTGGGTTCAGATGACAGCCCCACTGGGCACTCTGTGACCTTGGGCAGCAGCTGAGCTGTCCGGACCTCAGTGACGTCCCCGGTGGGACGGGCCCGCACTGCCGGTTCAGACTGCGGCTGTGAGGGTGAAGGAGTAACCCGTGCCGAGCGCCACAGTGCGGCTCAGAGCGATGCTCTTCAGGTTGTTCAGCTGCACTCCGAGCTCCTCATTTCACTCCTGAAACATCCGTGCCTTCCAGAGAGTGTTTCAAATTCGATCTCTGATTTTTTATGACCCCAAGACATAATGAGCCCATAGGTCCCTGGATGTCAAATGAGCACCACTGCTGGTGCTATTTGGACAGCTTGGATTATTGCCAATTTCATGTCTGTATCCTTACAAAACTGTAAGCCTTCTTCATTCATTGGAGCTACACTGACAAAGGCCCTGTGGCTGGAACAAACTCCTGGCGAGGGCAGGTAGAAGCCTCCGTCACTGTACAGCGTCCCTTGGCAGGGAAGGACAGCACGGACCGGACGAGGCTGCAGCATGAGCAGGAGCCCAACCCAGCCCCAGACACTAGGCTCAGCCCACGGAAAGTCTGTGTCTCTGCAAGATTCTCTGACTCGGAGTGGGCAAACAGAGATCACTGAAGCCACAGCTGGTCCACTGCTGTAGCCTGAATTTCTCTGGCTGATACTTAGGTGATTTCCCTTCTACCCACCTCCTGAGCATTGAAAATCTACATATTCAAACACTCCAAATCAGTAATTACAGAGCTTCCTAGTACCAAGGAAAATTCCTGCATGCCTAGAAATCAAACATAATTTACTATCTCTGTTTTGAATCTGACTCACTTTAAAAATAAAACAAACCAAAAAAACAACCTCTAGACGAACACTGCCTTTTTGCAGTTTCTTTATGTACAAACTCAATAAATGCAGACTCCCCATGGGCTTCTGTCCTGAGCACAGTATGGAACTTGGAATACACTGGCAGAAGCAGCATTCTCGGCTCGTCTTCTGGCTTGGAATTCCCAAGAACGATGATAATAAAACTCGCCCTATTACGTTCACTTTCGAGGAAAAGAGCTTCCATATTCATGTCACAATCTGGAGCCCAAGAAGCGCGACAAGAAATCTGCGCAGAGAAAGCAACACCTAACGGAGAAGTGGCCACATGTGCCCTGCCCCAAGCTTAGCCACACCACCCTCCTCTGTACTGTGGGTTCTCTCGTTTCAAACCAACAGCACATCTGAATGGACAGAGCTAAAGTCATTCATTTGAGGCGGGTGTGTGTGTGTGTGTGTGTGTGTGTGTGTAAAATGGGGAGGAGCAAGTGAAACAGCCCAACATCTAAATATATGCTCATAGTTCAAACTGACTTATTTTAAATTTCCATCAAATTGGGATCTAAAAAAGTACCCGAATGCAACGCTCTAACACCAGGTGGTAACTTAATACAGATTGTGATACAGAAAGCATTATGTTCCTACACAATAAACAAGTTTCCCAGATAGGTGGATAATTTATGTATTTTCAGAGGTCGTAACTCAAAGCTCTATCTCCTCGAACTGAACCGGTGAAGGAAATGCCGCCAGAGCAGGAAAAGTGTTGCTCCTTAGCTCGATTTTCTTATTAAAATGTCAGTTCAGATCCTTTCTGTTTGCTTTGAGCAGACCAGACTACAACCCAGAGTCAAGAAGAAGCCAAGCGACCTTGGCTGGGACGTACATTGTGCCAGGACCGGAGACTCAACCTCTGTAAACTGAGCCCCTCATCGGTGGCTCTACTGGAGAACAGACCAAGGGCTGAAAAGTGGGTTCTGTCAGCAGCCCCTTCCTACGTCCTTAAAGAAAACGCGTTCTCCCAACTCGAGCACTCGGGCTAGCCTTCCTGGTGAAGACGCCTGTCTGCAGCGCCCCCTGCTGCCCAGGGAGAGCCACGGCGCATTCCTTCCCTGTGGGATTCCCTAAGGGCTCAGCAGAGCCGCAGCCTCTGGGCCACCACCTAACAGAATGTAAATTATACTTGCTGCTTACATATTTTTAACAACATTTTTTTTTTTGCTCCTTTAAGAACATAAAAAACAGTATGGAGTTTCCTTAAAAAATTAAAAATGGAACCGCCAATTGACCCAGTGATCCCACTTCTAGGAATATACCCTAAGAAGCCTGAAACACCAATCAGAGAGAATATATGTACCCCCATGTTCATAGCAGCACTATTTACAATAGCTAAGATCTGGAAACAGCCCAAGTGTCCATCAGCAGATGAGTGGATAAAAAAGCTGTGGTACATATACACAATGGAGTACTATGCAGCTGTAAGAACGAAAGCTCTCTTATCCTTTGACACGACATGGAGGGACCTGGAGAGTATTATAGTAAGTGTAATAGGCCAGTCAGAGAGACAAATATCACATGAGCTCACTTATATGTGGAATCTAATGAACAAAATAAACTGATGAATGAAACAGAACCAGAGGCAGGGAGCATTGGAACAGACTGAGGAATCTCAGGAAAAGGGGGATGGGGGGCAGGAAGAGATTAACCAAAGAATTTCAATGCATACAGTGATACCTCGGTTCTCGAACATAATTCGTTCCAGGAGGACGGTCGAGAACCAAATTGTTCGAGAACTGAAGCAATGAAACCCAATAGGAAATAATGGAAACTGGATTAATTCGTTCCAAGCCCCAGAAAATGCCTATTTACTGGCCTAATTTGTATATAATATGTAGAAAAACATAAGTCTCAACAAGAAATAAAAGTGTACAGTATGTCTAAGGGTTAAATTCAGTGTAAAGCATGACTCTCTCCACAAAGCGTGACTCTCTCCACAAAGCGTGACTCTCTCTCTGCACTCACGCTGATGACGCGAGCAAGGCGCGCTGGGCCGAATGAACGCCATTCGGCTCAACTCGGCTCATCTCGGAAGTTCGAGTTCCAAATATTGTTCGGATTCCAAGACAAAAGTTTCTCGAATCTCCTGGTCGAATACCGATTTGGTCGAAATCCGAGGCGTTCGAGAACCGAGGTATCACTGTACATGCTTAGCCCATGGACACAGACAATAGTGTGGTGAAGGTGGGGGAGGGGCTGGTGCTTAGCCTCACCTCAGGCTATTCTGGTAGAAAAATCTCAACTAGGGTTTAGACTTCCAGTTCTCCAGGTGGCCCAACTACTAAACAACTCTGTGACCTTGGGCAGGTCACAGATTTTGTGGGATCCCGGTTTCTGACCCACATAAGAGGGGACTAGAACAATTTTAAAGTTGCTTCTAGCTCCAAAAATGCCCCTGCCCCTAATTCTTAGTGGGTCACTTCCATTTTTATTCAAAGGTGTGATATAAGAACACGGACTTGGACTGAGACCCACGTGGATGGAATCGAGCTCCCAGCACTGAAGTAGGAACCCCTCTGCTGCTCGATTTCTTTCCTGTGAGTCAGAGGTAATGTTGCCTGACGCACTGGCCAGCTGTAAAGGTGACATCAGACCTGCCAACTGCTTGGCGTGCTTTGCTTATAACGAAGTCTCCGTTTTTGTAAATTCTGCCCTTGTTGTTTTCACTTTGGACTCACTTTAGAGTCAATATGAGTTTGAGGCTTTCAAAGTGCCACCTGTCCTATGAATTATTTCTTCAGCTGGCACAATCAAATATTTCTTTTTGATGTCTAGTTCCATTTTCAAATAGAGAGTCTGCTTCTTTAATTTCCTTTTTGTAAATATTCTCCACACCCGAGTAGCCTCCATTACAGCAGTGCACCTCATATAATCGTGCCCCTTGAGTTACAGCTCCCTGCATTTTAAGGAGAACTGCCTTCCCTCCCTGACGCCTGCGTTAGAGGCGGACCCCACGCCTCCCGCTGGCCTCTCCACAGCCCAGAGCAGACGGCTCTGCTGTGTGTTCGAGCGCAGACGCGAGTCCTGTGGGGACCAGCCATCTTCCCGGGGAAACTCACCTCTCCAAATCGCTCCACGTTTTGTATTTTAGATAAGTTTCCACTAATAGACATGTCATCCAAGCTAGAAAGAATTTTATTAATACTTCCTTCACTGGACGGTCTATTTTTCAGTTTGGATCGAAAAATGTCTCCTTGGACCCATAATGATGCTTGTTTTCTGTAAAAAAGAGAGAAAACCTTTCAAATAAATTACTATCATCTCAGAAGTATGATGTCTTATAAACAAAAAGACTAGCAGATAAACATTTACAAATCAGAACAGAGAGATTATGAAGTCTTAGAATAAAAATAAATAAATAGCCCTGGCCAGTTTGGCTCAGCGGTTACAGCGTCGGCCTGCGGTCCTGAGAGACCCGGGTTCGGGTCCCGCTAAGGGCACGTACTTCGGTTGCAGTTTGTCCCCGGCCCTGGTTGGTCATGCAGGTGGCGGCCACTCGATGTGTCCCTTCACGTCGATGTTTCTCTCTCTCTCCCTCCCACTCTATCTGTACAAGGGATGGAAAAATGTCCTCGGGTAAGGATAAAATAAATAAATAAATAAATAAATAAATAAATAAATAATAAATAAATAAATAAATTCACTTTTGGAAGCCACAATAAATTAAAGTTCTATATGAAACACAAATAACCATCTTCCAATATGTCTTTATAGCCACACATGGGTTGACTATTCAGGTTCTCAGTTGTAGAACAAATTCCACAGCAATAAAAGATTGTGACCCCTTTGGTTTTTAAAGGTGCATTTTTTAAATGTTTTTATTGATTTGAGAGAGAGAGAAAGGAAGGAGGAGAGAAACATCAATGAGAAACATTGATCGGCTGCCTTCCACACACCCTATCAATGTTTCTCGTCGGGGATGAAGCCTGAAACCTGGGTGTGCCTGGTCAGGAATCCAACCAGCCACCTCCTGGTGCAGGGACGACACGCAACCAACTGAGCCACACCGGCCAGGGCTGAAGGTGAACTGGAAATCTGTAAGATATTTCTCAAACAGCAATTTGACTTTTCTGTAAAAATAGTGGGAGTTGGTTGGACTCAAAGATATAGGTGAAGGAAATTTAATTGGTGGGAGATGTTGCCTAAAAAGTGTGGCACAGTGAAGGGCCCTAAACACGTGAGTTCAGAAACCCGCCATTCATCTGGAAGCAAGGCTCCAGCCTCGATGAGGTCAGCCTTTGGGAAGAAAGAAACTGTTTCTGAAACTCGTTCATGAGTTTATTCAGGAAGGCACAACGACCACTGTTTTCAAGGTTATAACAACTTAAAATACGTTAGAAAAATGATATGCTGAGGTTTCTATTTTTATGGAAGGAGTCGCCTTCCTGCATTTCTTTTAAGATAAATTATCCCCTAGAACAGTTCTTCTTCTATTCTGCACCTTACTGGTCAGCACAGAACTAAACTAAAAGCAGTGTTGTTCACCGCGAGGAATATCGACACCCAAGGAAATAACGGCGTTTTCGAGAAGGTGCCTCAGTAAGAACAGGTCTCCTTTTTAAAGCCACAGGAAGACGAGGAAGACTTTCTCCCAAAGGTTCCACATAAAATTCAGGTTAAAACATGAAGGAAAAACAAAACCCCTCACTGAACTGGGCCCTCAGGAAAGGAATCCATCCTTCCTTTTAAACAACGTTTATTCTCAAATCAGAACTTTATTGTTATGATTATGAAAGTCTTGAAGAAAAGGTTAGCCTTCAAATTCCAGCAAATTTGATGCAGATAATGCCTCCCACCCAGCAATCTGCACTCGTATCACCCCACAGATACACACTGTGTACTCGGTACCAAGATGCCCATTTGGCATTACTTAGCAAAATAATGCAGACACCATTATGAGCAACTAGCTCACTAAATTACAGTAGAGGCTGTGAAATACTATGTAGCCACGAAGAAGCCTGAGACCAACCCACACGTGGTGACAAGAAAGAGTGCCCGTGAAGTAACGCACCCATGAATGAAAAATACAAATGACAAAGTGTGGTCTCACTTTTTTTTAAAATCCTCACCCAAAGATATTTTTCCATTTATCTTCAGATAGAGTGGGAGGGAGAGAGACAGAGAGAAACATCGATGTGAAAGGGACACATCGACTGGCTATCTCCCGCACAACCCCAACCAGGGCTAGGGATGAACCACAACCGAGATACATGTCCCTTGACCAGAATCGAACCCACAACTCTATGGTCCGAGGGCCGACACTCCAACCACTGAACCAAACCAGCCAGGGCTGGTTTCACTTTTTTTTTTATCCTCACCCGAGGACTTTTTTTTCCATTTTTTTGTTCAGATAGAGTGGGAGGGAGAGAGAGAAAGAGAGAGAAAAACATCAACGTGAAAGGGACACATCGAGTGGTTGCCACCCGCACGACAAACCAGGGCCGGGGACAAACTGCAACCGAGGTACGCGCCCTTAGCGGGAACTGAACCAGGGTCTCTCCGGACCACAGGCCAACGCTCTAACCTCTGAGCCAAACCGGCCGGGGCTGGTTTCATTTTTTTAAAAAGGGAGGGGGGGGCAGAATATTATAAAAGTTCACAGTTATCTGGAAGAATCTATACCAAACCATTAACTAGTTACCCCGAGAGTGGCAACAAAGGAAACGTTTGCTTTTTACTGTGTAATGTCTACACTGACTTTTCTTTTTTAAACAATGTGCCTTGTTTGCTTTTGTAGAAAAAAGTGATCTAAAAATAAGTGACTAGCCCTGGTCAGTTTGCTCAGTCGTTGGAGCGTCGGCCCAAGGACCAATGATTCCGGTCAACCTTGGTTGCTCTCTCTCCCTCTCTTTCCCTCCCTCCCTCCCACTCTGTCTGAAGATAAGTAGAAAAATGTCCTTGAGTGAAGATAAAAAACAAAAATAAATAAATAAACGAGTAAAAGCAAAGATCAAAGCCGAACAAAGCTGGAGACAAACGGAGAGGAAGACAGCAGCACACCCCACACTGTTTCAGCGACAGTGCCGGTCACGTCCCTTCAGACGGCAGCAGAAGGAAGCCAGAAGGTGACAGCATGGGCGGGACTGGATGGAGCGGGGAGGAGGCTTTTTTTTTTTTTTTAAATATAATATCCTACCCTACTTTCAAATAAGAGATTTCTTTTTTTTTTTTTTACTTTTTGCTCATTTTTCAATATTTTCCAAATAAAGCAAAAGGGAAAGTGAAATACCTTTAGATCTGGTTTCTGAGGCTGTAGATATATAATAAGTTGTCCACATATTAGACCAACTTACCATTTCTAACATTGTTCGAAAATTTAAAGTAGCTTAATTCCAGCATGTTTCTAAACAGATTAAATTTAAAAAACAAAAATCTAGTGAATTTTTAAAGATATGAGTAAAATAAAAATTTCAGAAAGCAACAGCCATTCACTAGGGAGTGTGGCAGCATCTGCTCCTCTGGTGGCCAGTTAATTTGCTTTCTGGAAGCCAACCACCAAGGAACCTTTCTGAGCTCAGGATATACAAATTGAAGAGGTTAACATGACTACTGAATCACACTGAACTTTTCTATACCAGCTGTAAAAATATGTATTCAAAATAAAGTCTTTTCAGCTCTTTTTATTTTGTGGAACCTTCATAAAACCATGGAATAGCCTAATACTTTGCATCCTCAAAAACAAAATCTTGCTTTAATTTTTTATTCCTCCAGACTTTTTCCACTCGATGCTATACTTCGCATAAGCCTTTATCTGAGGCTTGAATCTTACGTCCTTCCAATGACAGTGACCAGATAGCACAGTCCTTGACACGGTAGGAAGAGTTAAAAAAATAACTGTTAAATTCATAAACGAAAGTCCTGGGCCTCTGGTCAAAACTCCCGGGAATAGAGAAGTATGATATCACGGGGAGAGAAAACTCCGCTCTGCTGTAGATGGTGAAAAGTTCCGACAAGCGTCTGTCAAGAAGTTCCCGGTTCAGTACAAGGGAAACAGTGAAGTCTGACACTGAAGACTCAGGACCAGGACTGGCCTGCAGGCGGGGAAGGGACTCCACTTGCTGTGCAGGAAGCGGAGAGAACCCGCCTGAGAATCCAGTCCGCCCAGAGAGGTGAGCAGGGCTGAGCCAGCGACGGGCATTCCCGCAGCAGGGCAGGCATGGAGTTCGGGGAAATCGAGGACGAACGCCCACAGCAGGTCGGGAAAGAAGCTGGTTTGCTTCGGCTGAAGCAGAGGGTGGGAACAGCACTGTGGGGGCCCCGATGCACGCTGGGGGGTTAGAGTAGATCTCAGAATCAAAGAGAAGACCCCCTAAGAATCTTTAGGGGGGAAAACACCTTGATGTGGAAACAGGCAGAGAAGTTGAAGGCTTAAAGTGAAAAGAATTCCAACTGTAAATGTTGTAAAATGAAAACTCTCATGGTGCCGCCAACCCAAAGATGACAATTACAAAGTGGCGCCCGCCAGGGACTCAGTGTGAAAGGCCCGTCTGTCCCCTCACTGCAAAGCCTTGATTTGAACCTGAATATGAAAGACCCACAGGTGTCGAGCCGGCCCCGCGTTGCTAAGCGATGAAGCCGGCAGTGCTGCTCAGGAAAGGGGAATCTGCACAGCAACACCTGTCACGCGGAAACCACACACGTTTATCGTGGTGTCTATCGCTGCTCAGAGCCTCGTCTCCAGCGGGAGCGAAGCGTGTTAAGCAGTTGGCACTCACAGACCAACTGACGGGAGCACACCATCGCAGTTCCTCCCGTGACCAGCCACGTTTCCCAAGACAGCGTGACCTTGTGCCTCAGGGACGCACACCTGGAGTGACGGGGAGACTGCCCGGGGAGGCAGCCAGCGTCGCGGTCACTGTTTGGCCAGGTCCGAGCCCTGGGCTAGCCAGGCCTAGGACATCAACAACTAACTCGGCTTCATTGCGAGCCAAGGCCCAGTTAACCGGTATCGAGCCTTCACAGGTCTTTTTAAATCTGCTTTCGAATCCCCCGAAAGAAAGGCAAGTCATGTGCCTTGTTGCAGATGTCTCTGGTTTCGACTTGAGAACATGCGGTTCACTGTCTGTCAGCTGCTTTTGTTTGTGGCTGACCTCTTCTCCCTCACTTCCTGGGTCCACCCTGATCCCCCACGTCACCCTGGCTACCTTCGTCCCTCCTTCCTTTCTGGACACAGTTTTCCAGTGTGACTCAGCCCTGTGCCAGTGTCCATGCAAAGCCACCATGTGGTCATTTCGTACAGAGACCCAGCCCACTCTCTAGCTGCCCCAGACCCACTGTACTGCGACTCAGCGCGGGTCTGCCCGGCCCTCCTACTCCGCCACCCCCGGCGGCTGCGGGAGCAGGTAGTTCCTGGGTTGAACTAGGCTGATGAAATCATCTAACTGATATCAAAGGAAGACAGACCAGAAAGCCATACCCACGTCTCAGGAGGTGAAAGGAGACAGATATTCAAGGAGAACTACGCTTACTTTGTACAAATGGAAGATTCAAAAGGAAAATGTTTACAAAGAATTTATGAGTGGGGAGGGGAAGGCTCCTGATTCTGAAACACACAAGAAATTGTAGCTAGAAGAAAAAGAAACGATTTAGGAAATTTCCAAATGAGTCAACTAGCTAAATCTAATTTAGATATACAACCCCTCAATCTGAACCCCACGGATCATTGCTGTCAAGCCAGTATGCAAACCTTACAGCTGAACCTAATGCATTAGTTCACCTCTGACCCTTTTCACACAGGAAATAAAACGAAGATCACTCACTCTTCCACAGTGATTGGCATGAGTATTTCAAGATAAATTTCTGATGCCACCATTGCCAAAAATTCTATGTACCTTATTCTTCGTACCTGAACTCATATTATTAGGATTTTATTCTTGCTTAGCCAACAGATTCAATGCCAACTGTTGTATCAATCACATGTCCAACAGTAAATACTGAAAAGCAGTTCCCAATTTCTTAATAACTGAGTGTTTCTGCAAAAATGTGACCGTCAGCTACAGCTCAAGCTCAAACCTATGCCATGTGCTTGTTATGCTAATAACTACACCACAAGATTGTCAAGCATTATTTTCAATTCTTTTGTTTCTAATATTTCAGATTTTAATTTTTTCTATTTTAGGAATAGCAAGTTTTTAAATCTTTTAAATAGATTATTTAAAAAATTGGCCCTGGCCAGTTTAGCTCAGTGGTTAGAGAGTCGGCCCGTGGACCAATGAGTTGTGGGTTCAATTGTGGTCAAAAGCATGTACCTCAGTTATGGTTCGTCCCCAGCCCTGGTCAGGGTCATGCAGGAGGTAGCCAGTCGATGTGTCTTCTCACATCGATGTTTCCCTCTCTCTCCCGCTCTCCCTCCTTCTTTACCTGAAGATAAATAGAAAAAAATATCCTCAGGCGAGGATTAAAAAAAAAAATTAAACCCACTTTCCTTGACCTTAAGCATGTATCTAAAAATATATATATATATATATATAAAAGGAAACGGAAGGAAGGAATCAATTATAATTAAAAACTCAAGCTATTATTGTTAGACATTTTCAAGCATTTTTCCATCTCTTGAACAGGTTTTCTTCATCTTATTTTTGGTAATTTCCTGAAATAAAAAGCACTGGTTGAACTATTCATTTCTGATGTCACTCAATTCAATTGTGAAATTTACCAAATGCTATGAGCACCAAACCGAATGCGACACTGGGCTGGCGCGTACAGAGCAGGAGTGAGCTCAGACCTGTGACAACACGGGTGGGGGACCAGCCCCACCTGGGCGCTTGTTAGAATGTAGAATCTCAGGCCCCACCCGACCTGCTGACTCAGAAACTGCATTGAACTCAACAAGATCGCCAAACAAACACAGGCATCTTAACATTGAGAACAGACCTACAACTAAGTTAGAATGCTGACAAATATCCAGCTGACTGGTCGCTGATGAAAATAAGCAGAATGGGGACATTTCTGATTCATGAATTTAGAAATAAAAAAAGTGTTTAACCACAAGATGGTTACTTGCTTAAAGGTAACGTCATTCAAATGGAAGCTCTACTCTGCAAAGACAACTCCGTGCAGGGTCCGGACTGAGGCCTGATGTGCGCTCCCGTCTCGACAGCCTTGGACACTTCACTGACACAGGAATCACTCCCACACCTCCGTCTTCACAGGCAAATACTCGGAACTACAGTATTGATTCACACGTAAGGAAACATCCTTAATGTTACCGCTTAAGTGTCTATAAATGAAACACCTTTCTTTACAACTTGGAATGCCTTTGCCTCATCACCCTACGTTCTCTGTTTCTATTTTGAGATATGGTAGAGGGAAGAGACACAGCAGGGGGTGAGAAGGACAGCACAGGTGTGAAGTGGGTGGGTTGTGGTACCTGATGCCCCAAGAAAAACTAGGTGAACTTGACACGTGCTGCTCTCAGCAGAGTGCCAAGTGCCAGGGGAGTACTCAGTAGGTACCCAATGAATGAACATTCTTCCAAATAATTTTCATAGGTGACCTAAAGCACCAGCTCAGGAATGGCTTTGTTTTCTCATCTGGATGGCATTTATTCAGCTCCAGCAGACCCCTGCACAACCGCACCGGCCGACAGCAGTGGAGGCTCTGTGGTTCACGCACACCGTGTAAAACAGGAAACCCCGGGCAGAGGGCCTGATCAAGAATAAAGCTCTAAAATAACATAACTATTTTATTTGTATCTCATAGGCCAAAAACCTAAGAACTCTTGTCTTCTTAACAGTCCTGTCCGTGGGTGTTGTGTACTCGATACAATTCTGCCTCACTCTTTTAGGTTAAGGTATAAGCGAGCACTTTTCAGCACTGCCGTTCTCATCAGCCGCTCCCGCTGGGACTGGCGACTCCAGCCATTCCTCAGCAGCCTCAGATTCTGTGCCACTTCCGCGCTGATGGCTCACTCACAGCATCTTTCTGTGAAATTCAGTCATGTGTTTCTTGCCAACATAAAATGATTGAAAGGGAAAGGAACAAATTCTGTAGAAAAGAATGCTATCCAAAATACAGCCATTCCAGCATTAAAAGGGAGGGGAGTGAAATTTCTGTATGAGAGATCACTAACTGACAAGATTTCAGCTGATGTTAATTTCATCTTGTTTTAGTTGTTGTTTTAAATGTTTTTATTGATTTTAGAGAGAAAAGGGAGGGGGAGTCAGAGAGGGAGGAACATCAATCGGCTGCCTCCTGCACACCCTCTACTGGGGATCAAGCCCAAAACCCAGGCATGTGCCCTGATCGGAGTCTAACTGCAACCTCTGGGTGCACAGGACCACGCTCAACCCCTGAGCCACACGGGCCAGGGCTCCTCGTTTAATTAATGGGCTAATTGCTGGTGCTTTCTAAAATTTTAAAGGGAAACCAGAAAGGGTTATGCCCACACAGGTTAAATCTCTCCCCTAGTGGACAGGACTTTGACACAAAGCCAATGGGGCAGTATGGCAAGGAACGAAGGATTTTAAGTGTGTTCCAAACACCGCAGGGCGGGGGGGGGGGGCTCCCCAGCTCTCCCTTCCTTCCATGGAAACGCCCACGGTGCAGCTACCTGGCAGCTGAGTTATTTGCCAGGAGAGCAGCAATCTCGCCAAAGTCACTGGCAGACCTTAGCTGTGGTTTCATCCCTTTTAACTTTCCAATCTGCTTTTAGACATGCAAACAAAAGAAGAGAATGAAACGTGCCCTGTGGGCGACATGAGAAAGTTGCGCTGTGCCAGGTCACACACCAACCACAGCAGGGAAAGGCAGGCAGAGGTGGCCCTGGGCTCCTTCTCAGCCCGATCTAGCGGCAAAGGTGCAGTGAGAACGCCAGAGCGGCCCCTTTGACCAGACTCCATGGACGCACGACTTCTCTCACGATGCAGCCATGTCCTCTCCACAGGCTGACACAGTCCGGGAGAAAAGGCAGAGGTGACCGGGACCCGATGTCACCCGATCATGGGGACCGCAGACTTACTCTTCCAAGAAGTGCTGCTGGGGTCCTATGATGGAGCCCGGCCGGCATATTCGGACCCAGGAGATGATCTCGGCGTGCGTGAACCTGTAGTGCTTCATGACGTAGCAGGCTATGAGCGTCCCTGTTCTTCCCAGGCCAGCTGCAGGGGAGGGAGACAGAGCCTGAGATGCCAGACACCACATGCGCACCCTTCCCATGAACTTCCTGTTTAGGAGTTCTGTTTACGCCGATGTATTAGAAGAGGGGTGTGTGGGGTGGGGGTGACCTGTTTTCATCTGAAGCACCTTTTGTCCTTGATCTGACCCCAACATGCTTAGAAAAGCACCAAGTGTAATTATGGCTTCCTTTAGTTTGTCTTTGCTTCTGCAGAGGTCTGACAAGACTACAGGTGATCATGTTGACGGAATACAGCCGGTTGGCCTGGAGCAGGACCCAGGGCTCAGCTGGTGTCCAGAGCCCTTCAATGGCCTTTTTGGGGACAACAGTGCCTCCCTGCTCCTCTCCCTGTGCCGGGGGCTGCCAAGGTCCCTCTTCAGCTCCTAATCACACATACAACCGAAAGAGAAAAGGTGGTGCAGAGAATGTTCAAATTTCTTTGAAACTGACGTTTCTTCCCCCTTTCAAAAAGAGCCTATAATTTAATCTATAAAAAGAACGTACTTTGCACTCTTACCATGATCGAACAGAATAGGAACGTTTCACTAAGTTTCCATAAAAACTTTAACAAATCTGTTCGAGCATTCATAATTGAAGGGCTCCCTGGCACAGCAAGACAGGGAGTTGGAAAGTATCCTATTTACAGAGTTCAACACCGACTGCCTTACAGGTCCAGGAATTTCTTGAAATCACTACAGAACGTCAACAATCACACATCAGAGTATCACAGCGTTGCCATTTTTCAAATGATTATTTGTGCTAGAAATTTCAAGAATTCATAGACCTCTTTTATCAACCAGAAAGTGAACTGGAGATACCAAATCATCATAAAATGTCACACCTTCCCAGCAAACTGGTTTCTAGTTCGTCTCTATGCATTACTTTACGTCGAAGCACATGGCACAGCCGCCCAAGTGCATTTGCTATGGAAGAAGATTCTCGCTGCCTCCTCCTTGTAGTTCAATTAAAATGCTCAAGGCTGCTTGAATTCCCAGAAAATAAAGCTGACTTAATTAGAGCGTATGTCAAAATAATTAACAGGCCTATAGCAGATAACTATGCTATTAAAAGAAGTAGAGCTGTAATTAAACCGAAGGTATAATCCTTGTAAAAGAATCCTATGTGTGTGTACAAGTGGAAGCCAATGAAATACTGTCAAAAAGATGTCACCACATGTAGGTATGACCTCCCATAGGAGAACTGACCTCCTGCTAAAGGTCCTGACTTTAGGACTTCCAGTCAAGATGGCGAGTAAGTCCATGCTGTGCTCACCACCTCCCACGGCCACATCGAAGAGCCACTGCCTGAGAACCACCTGCAGACTAGCTGCACAGAAATCCTCTAACTCAGAAGACTGGGATATAAATGTATCAAAACTGCAACAAATTATTTTAATGCTAAAAAAAAAAGGGGGGAACTGACTCAGAAATCAGGCCAAATTCATCCCAAGAAAACCACTGATTTTCTGGACATAAAAATAAACTTTGAAATAGAGCGTATGAGTATATCCTGAACACTGGAAGCTGCCGCGTTCCCATTAGCTCTCAAATTCCATGGATATTTGAAATATGTGAAATGCAGGCTTTTTCTTGGGCCTGGGCAATCTTTCTTTCTTTCTTTCTTTCTTTCTTTCTTTCTTTCCTTTTATTTGACAGAGAGAGAGAGACATCAATTTGTTTTTCTACTTATTTATGCATTCATTGGTTGATTCTTTTTTAAAAAGCAGAACAAAACATTTTATTGATTTTTAGAGAGACAAAGGGAGAGGGAGAGAGACATCCATCAGCTGCCCTCTGCTCGCCTCTACTGGGGATCAAGCCTGAAACCCAGACATGTGCCCTGACCGGGAATCCAACCAGTGACCTTTAAGTACACTGGACAACACACAACCAACTGCCCCACACTGGCCAGGGCTCATTGGTTGATTCTTGTATGTGCCCTGACCAGGGATCGCATCCAAAGCCTTGGCACATGGGGACGATGCTCTAACCAACCGAACTGCCCAGCCAGGGTATGCCTGGGTAATCTTTAACAAAATGAGACAGCAAGTCAAAGTCAGGGTGCAGGTGGACCACACCTGGGGCAAGTCTGCTCACCGCCACCTGTGGGGACCTGAGCAGCAATCTGCAAGGACACCTTCCTAAAAGGTAGTCATGTGCAGCTCATTTCCATCCCCCTGGGTCTCTGGCAAAATGGAGCTTCCCATTGCTCTCACGTGTTCAGCAAAGTACCTCCACCTACTCAAATCTTAAACATAGAAACAGGGGCCTACAAAATGGTATTTTAATTACTGTCAGAACCAAAGCCGAGCTTCTCTGAAAAAGTCAGTTACAGCAGCACCAGGCATATCAGCATAAAACTCAACAGACACGTGAACAGCACCACCCTGTGGCCCTCTGAAACGTTGCAAGCAGGGAGCTAGGGGCTCATCCCAGGGAGGCCAAAGAGATTCCTGTCCTCACTGAAATCAAAGTCCCCAGTGAAATACCTTTCACGGTGCTGGAAAGTCTCCAATGGCATTTGAGCCTCCTCGGTGTCTAACAGTTAGGCTTAGAGCAAATAAATGTTCTTTCCTGTTTGCTGACAGCTGACACAAGGTTGCCAGAGAAAATACAGCGCGTATGTTCTATGCCGTGTTTGAGGTGTACTGACAAGTATTCACTGTTCTTCTAAAAGTGAAATTTAACTAGGTAACCTGCATTTTTTTGTGCGAAGAAGGTAACCTTTTGCCTTCTATAATCCGAAAGACCCCCGCCCCAAAGTACCCACCTCCAGAAACCAGGGATTTGTTGCATAACCCAGTCTTGGGTTAATTCAGAGACAAGCATACTGGCTGGTGACTCCAGTAGCTGCCCTGCCCTGCCCTAGCCATGGGTAAGGGGGACACCCTCTTCTGGGGTGCAAGAGACCAGCAGGGAAAGGGGGAGCAGCCGGGGAAATGGGTCCAGAGAGCTGGGTCATCCAATGAGAGTGCTAACTACCAGATGGGGGGGGGGACAGGAGATGGCTGTTCTAGAAGGAAAAGAGGACAACCAACGACCCCGCCTCTTGACAAGCGTGTCTGTTCAAAGGGGCCCTGCCGGCTACGGACACTGTTCCTCCCCTCGTGGAGGTGCCCGGCTGCGGTGGGGTGACTCGGGAAGGCCACGCCACCACCGCGTATGCACATCCAAGCGATCCCGTCCTAGGAAGGGATTATTTCCGGAGCTGTGTGCTCCTCGTTTGTGAAGCCCTGAGACTAGCCGGCTGTGCTGGACGCCGGCCGGCCGGCGCACCTTTGCAGTGCACGGCGATCGCGCCGTCCGTGTTCTCGCAGATGTTCAGGAACCTGCGCACGATGTTGTCGCTGGGCGTGCTGCCGTCCACGAAGAAGAGGTCGTGGTGCTCGAAGCCGGCGTCCGTGAAGCGCTTGGCCTCGTAGATCTTTTTGTTCAGCCTCACGATGGCCGTCACGTTGTGCTTTTTGAAGTAAGGGAAGTAGGCTTCCGGGGCGTGGAGAGGGTAACCTGGGGGGAGAAGGAGCTGCCGTCAGCACAGCGCGGGACCAGGGACACCGGGGACACCGGCACCTGCAGCAACGTTTAGAAGCTCCGCAGCTTTGGGCACAGGGCATCTCATGAGGGAGAGGAGGTCCCAGCACACCCCTCGGAGCAGCAGTCTGAGTAACTGGAAAACACCAACCAGAGGGGAGGGGTGGGGAGAGGGAGAGGAGGGTAAAGGGGGATAAATGGTGATGGAGGAGACGTGACTTGGGGTGGTGAACACACAATACAATATACAGATGATGTATTACAGACTTATACACCTGAAACCTATACACTTTTATTAACCAACGTGACTCCAACAGATGAAAACCCCAGTTCTGTGGCACGCCCTTCAAAACTCCAGCACCAGCCTGGCTCCTCCAGCGTGCCTCCACTTCCCCTCTGTCCCCTAGCCTTCAGCTGCTTCCTCCAGAATGTTCTGGCTTATTTGACCTTCTCAGTGATAACTGCCTCCGATTAGCCTTTCTGTTGAAGCAGGATGGTTTCATCCTGCCTGGACCCTTCGGATCCATCTTCTCCCTTGTATCCTGTTCATTTTCTAAGCCTTGTTCTCCAGGCTTCCCCTGGAGGCTGTGGCTCCCCAGCATAATCCCAATCAATGCCTCTTGGGCTTCATTTGCCAGAGCTGGTTCTTCTGCCTGCAACCAAGCCCAATGGTACCCTTGGCCAAGGCCATTACAATCTTCTGTGTAGAAACAGCGACTGATACACACACATTTAGAGAAAAACGAATGCTTTTCAACTTGGAAAAATCAAATCTGTGTTCCTAGTTGGTTGATTGGCCCAAATTATTTGTTTTTTTAAGAAAGGAACACTGGACAGTTACCAAATATGGCAATAAGACATTGAAATAATAACAATAATGATAATAATGGTACCTAACATTTACTGAGCACTTATTATGTACCAGGCACTAAACTAAGTGCATCATGGGTATTATCTCATTAAACCTCACAATTACCCAATTGCCTGGAAAAAGGAACTGGCCCATGCTCACACAGCTGGTAAGAGAGAGAGGCAGCATTTGAACCCTGGCAATCAGATTCCAGGGTCTATGTTGAGGCTGATTTCAGGTAAGATCCAACTTGATGCTAATTGATGGGTCTCCAGAAAGGGGACGTCTAGGAGCTGCACTTCCTAGAATTAGTGAGAAGGTTTCTCAAAGAGCTCCCAAACTGTTTCAAATGAGTTATAATCAAAAACAGTGACAATATCCTACGACCCTGGAACAACTATGTGTGGGTGTTGTCAATGCGCCCGGGACAACTATGTGTGGGTGTTGTCAATGCGCCCGGGACAACTATGTGTGGGTGTTGTCAATGCGCCCGGGACAACTATGTGTGGGTGTTGTCAATGCGCCCGGAAACTGGTTTCAGCACCATGCCCGGGGCCGGTGGAGCCTCCCCCACGCCCTTCTCCGGCTGGCTGCTAGGTGGTGCCCTGGCATCAGTAAAGCTCAGGCAGGGCCCTGGAGTGAACCAAACCCAGAAACAGATTTTCAGGGCTAAGAGAGATTTAAAAAGTCATCTCTTCCCAGACCCTCATTTAAAATGAGGAAACTGAAGAACAGCAGAGTCAAGTGACTAGTCCCCCGTCATTATTAAAAGTAAAAACTGCAAAATGGGCAAGCAAATGGAGCAAATAAAATATTAGGCTCTTTCGTGATAAAAAAATGTAATCAGAATTTCTGCTACCTAATGAGCACCTAAATCTCTAGTTCTCACTAGATGCCTGCAATGTACTTTCTGTTTCCCCTTTGATGTAGGAGGAAACTGCTGCTCAGAGAGGTCAGGGAGCTCACAGGAGTTCACACAGCAAGTAGGGGTGGAGCCGGGCTCCCACCTGACCACGCTCTCCCAGCCCGGCTCCTCTGAAAGAGCAGGCTGACCTTCAGAGCGTTGGGATCCCTTTCCCTGTGCTCTTCTCTCTCGTTTTTAAAATAAAGATGATAAAAACATTACCACCTGAGAGTTCTGGGCTGTGTTTTTTTGTCTTGTTTTTTAGGAAATTTGAAATCCAAAATATGTTTCAGTCTACTGCTATATTATTCATTTATCAATTCAATCTTGTTTAAGCAGAAAGGTAGGGCTCTCTGCTTCCCCACAGCCGGAAGTGGCTCTGATGACAGCACACCCCTGAGACTCAGGATGCGCTGCCTGGAGCCGAGACCGCGGCCTCCTTTGGCAACATCCTAGCAACAGCTGAGTGATAATTCCTTAAAAATCTACCTTTTCTCTTATCAGCCTCTTCAGGAAACACAGAGTTTCTCAATCTTTTAAAAAGAGAAGTTGCCAAGCCCTGGCCGGTTTGGCTCAGCGGTTGGAGCGTCGGCCTGCGGTCCAGAGAGACCCGGGTTCGGTTCCCGCTAAGGGCACGTACCTCGGTTGCAGTTTGTCCCCGGTCCTGGTTGGTCGTGCGGGTGGCAGCCACTCGATGTGTCCCTTCACGTCGATGTTTCTCTCTCTCTCCCTCCCACTCTATCTGTACAAAAAATGGAAAAATATCCTCGGGTGAGGATAAAAAAAAAAAAGAGAGAGAAGTTGCCAAGATTTCACCATAATTGGACCAAGTTTATTAATTCCATCACAAAATTATTTTTCTAAGCTTGAAAAGGATTTATAAAGCTAAAGCCCTTTCCATGATGAAGCTTCCAGTGAATATGAGACCTGACCATGGGGATTCCAGTAACATACCACTATTTTACCAGAGACGATGGCAGCCTTACATGGGACTGTCCTGGACACAAAAGTCGACAGATACTAGGTCAGCAGCACTTCCAGGCAGAGAGCCCTGGTACATGTCACAGGCAGGTACGAAACCAGGGGCACGTGTGTGGTGCTCCAACAAACAATCTAGTCTAAATGCATCAATAACAATATACAAGAAACTAGATTTTAGAATAAACACTTATGACAACATTGAAAGAAGACTAAATCTGGGTCTATGACCAGACAAAGCAAAAAAAGGAGCTATTATGGTCATGGGTGACATTTTTATTTTATTTTATGTACTTCTCCCTTAAATTATTCGTCAGCCTTTGGTGACTAGTATTACTTGTCTTCCAGGGAATGTCAGCAGAGGGGGGAGAGGGGGAGTAAAAAATAAATAATAAGAAAATTCACACAGCTAATCATGTTTCGTTCAAGAGGCTTATTTTTTATTTTGGGCTTTTTTTTTTCCTGAATACGGATTCCCCAGCCATATATATCCTTCAAATAAGTAACTTAATGACTGCCAGCAACCAGACTGTTCCCAATTGTCATGATGGAACCACACAGATCGAAGGGTGGCAATGTTGAGGAGCCCAGCTCTGGGATGGAACACCAGTTCAATTACTGGGTGATCTTGGGCAAATTCCCACTCATAGGCCTCAATTTCCTCCTGCATAAAATGAAAATAATAGTACCTATCGTTCCTAGAGGTGTGTGTGCAAATGAGATAATGCTATCATTAGCTAGCAACTAGCACATAGTAAGTGCTCAATAAAGGACTCCTATTGTCATCGTCATTATTATTCAATATGGTGTTCCCCAAAGAATGCCTTGATGTATATAGCACCCCGCCATCAAATAAATCAGAACCACTGAGAGAATTCAGGACTCTTCTTAGGGGGTTGACCAGTCTGTTTCTCAGGTTCTTCTTTGACAGCTGGGTCAGGTAAAGTGAGCATCCTGTTCATGACAACCTAAAAATGTGCTAGTTTTAACGCAGTGATCTTACCTACTAAAGTAAAATATAGAATACACCAATTACTACTATTTTGTTTTTCAATTATAAATATTCTTTGGAGAATAACACCAAAAGTAAGGATTACCTGAGAAAAATTTAAAAATTAAAGATGAACTGAAATAAAATTTTGGATGGTAAAGAAAAACCTACCATTTTCAATTTTGCTTTTTGGATGTGGTCCACTAAATGCTAAAAATTTTCCTGGGACAATCCAGTTGAAGTCACCATTTTCAACTCGCTGGCAGAATTTTGTGGGAGAAAAAAGAAGAAACATATTTATTATGTATCATTCTTATACAACTTAGGAAACCCTTACAAATAAACCTGCTTTTACACTGTTAGTACTGAACTAATTGGACAAACATGAAGCCAAAGTGACATGCTTTAAAATGAAAACATTCATTGATTCTCAAAATGACATTTATGATTTCAATCCACTTCAGAAAAATTTTTATCTAGACTGTATAAAAAGTTTTTGAAACTTGATCTAAGTGAAAGTACTTTGCTTAAAATAATTTTGTCTCCTGGCCACTCTGCAATGAAAAGAAATGGAAACAAACATTGCTTGTCTCAGCAATAAATAAAGAGAAATAAGAAGAAACAGACAATATAAGCACTTTCCATGAACATGGTATACATACTTTAAACAATCTTTAAAAATCTATAAATATCAGAGTTATGATGAACACACTTATGGGGGGTTTCTTTGTTGTTGTCCCCCCCCCCCCATTTTTATGGGTTTATATCTGTTGTCAACACTGATTTTCAAACTGGGAAGCAGCAGGAGTCAGGAGTGAGGGACAGAGCCTCATCTAATCCTCAAGGTTATACCATGATCTAGAGTCAGCCAAGGTCTCTGGCCACGGCTGCAAACCAAATAGCTCCAGGGGTCAGGCAAGAGAGAAGGGCAGGAGTTTCTCAGTCTAGTTAATTAGTCATCTTGCCAGAAAGCCCATCTTCTGATTGGATGTTTATGTGAAATCTCTCTGTATTTGAAATTTGCCATTTTAAATTATATCTTTAGATACTACGCAACCAAATGAAACACACCTGTGGGCTGACGTGGTCACCAGGTGTCAGCCTCTGGTTTCAATGCACTAAGAGATCACGGGAAAGAAAAGGCTTGAAGACCAGGGAAGGGGCTAAGCATCCTCCCACTGCCCCATGCTCTCCTCCATCTCATTCCCTTCTCCATGTGTCTCCAAACCATGGACTACTACAGGGCTGGGGACAGTCGAGATGTTGCAGGTGATTGGGACACATTTGTACAATGCATCAAAAGGTGTACGGTATTGCCCCGTCATGTAAGCATTGTTAGCCCACCCCAACCCCACTTCCAGTCACAGTGTGGAGTCCCCAAGTCCCCTCCCTCGGGGCTCCCACAGCACTCACTGCACAGGTGCTCCAGACAGGGCAGGGAGTGTTCTCTCTACTGGGCCAACGCTACCCACAGAAAAGGCTCTCTCCTTCACTAGACGGAGACCCTGATGGTAGGAATCTGAGTCGAACACCATCTGAACTCCACTGTAAGAGCTTGGATTTGTTCAATAAACTGAAGTAAAGCCAACAAGAAAATGGTGGAACCGCTACTTTAATTACACTATCCACTATCACTCCCGCGAAAGTCCAAACTCTATGGTACAGTTTTCATGTTTCCAATGCAGATGTTTCTTTCCAGTTACAAATGAAACGTCACACGATGCCTATGAATGTCTGAACTACATTAATCTCTGGAATGCCCTAGATAAAATACCCAACATCTGAGTGTTATAACATACCCTTAATTAAGTCTCAAAGCATAGCTAGCTAATTATATCCACTTGACAAAGACTCTAATATACAGCTCTTTAGGATAGACATTTTCTTGCTTAAATAAAAGAATCTCCAACTAATGGTCTGCTATACCTCTCAAGTAAGTGTTAAGCTTAAAACATTATTTAAAAATTCAAAAATAAAGGTATGCTCTCATCCCCAAAAGGCTAAAACCAATTCTTTTATGAACAGCAGAAGAAAATCAGTTTCTACGTTTACTGTTTCTGTATCCTTGACCACTAAGCAGATCTAGATAAATGCATCGTGCTGTGTCTGTTCATTGGATTACAGACACCCCTCTGGTTAAATAGTAACCTTTCATAATCAATTATATGGACAAGGCAGTGGACTCACTAAGATACATTCACTCAGAACCAAAAGAATATGTTTGCAAATCTGCCTACTCAAAAAGACAAACATGAACAATATTGAGTTTATTCAGTGGCCTGGATAGACTGACTGATGGAGGAAACAAAGAGATTTAGGTCTTAGATCCAAGTCTGAAAAAAAAAAAAAATGAATAAGAAAGTTAACTAACTTAACTTTATAACATAAGCTTACTTTGGTAAGCTTCCAAAATTAATATTGGTGCCTTCTTTCATCATGAATGGTTCAACTGTCAATATTTATCAATATTAGAATATTTAAGATAACTCAAACTGGTTTTTATAATTAAACATGCACATAGAGTTAAAAAAAAACCTAGCTCAGACAGGAACCAGAGGCTCTTCCACCTGACCTCGTGCTGTGAACAGTGCAGCAAGGAGGAGGCAGCAGGTGGCATCGCTTCTTCCCACCTAGAGCCTACCAGGATCCGTGGGAAAATCAGATGTTCTTACTATAAGAAAACTCAAGGTAAAAATAATCTGAATTTCTAAAACTGATATATTTAGGTGTTACTATTCATTCTACTATAGAATTCTCAGTCTACAAAAGATTCACCAGGTTTCCCTGGAATAGTTAACTCTCCTGGTGCATTTAAAATACCACTGCACTCGGACACTTGAGTTTTTACAACTTCTGAAAACTATATTTGTGCCCGAGAGGCCTGCCACTGTTGGAATGGCCACAAACGCTGGAAAACATTCGGCCTTGACACCACTGTAACAACAGAGAAGACAGACCTTGAGGTGGACAATTACAAGATAGGTTCCCTTACGAACAGGCATCTTTTCGAAGACAACACAAATAAACCGTTTTTAAGCACAATTCAACCTTCATTCAAACATTTGCGGAGCCTGTTATACATCAAGGACTCTAACTTGGTGTCACTAAAATAAAAAGCGTTCCCTCCATGGCTTCAGGAGTCTGAGCGCGAGCGGGAGTGAGCAGCACAGTCCAATCGCCGGGAACAGACGGCCCCGGGCTCTGCCAGGCGCTGCAGCTCGGCCACGGCCACCCAGGGCGGTCCTACTGCGGCTCCATTGAGCCACTGCTGTGGCCTGGTTGCCTGCGGCCCTCGGAATTCACGGGTTGAAATCTAAGCCCCAGTGTGAGGATTAGTGTAGGGCGATTAGCTCGTGAGGATGGAGCCCTCATGACTGGGGTCAGCGCCCTTATGGAAGAGACCCAGAGGGCTGCCCCCCCCCCCACCGCGGAGGACACGGAGAGGGGCGTCTATGAACCAGGGAGCAGGGCCTTACTCGACACCTAATCCACTGGGGCCGCACCTCAGACCTCCAGCCTCCAGAACTGAGCGAGAAGTTGTAGGTAAGCCACACTGTCTATGGTATTTTGTTACAGGGGCACCAACTAAAACCATTAAGAAACCGTTACTGAATTTTGCTAAGTGCCACAACAGTACATTAGAGGGTTAACAGCAGCACAGAGACTGCTTTAAAAATCAAAAAGACAGGACTACAAAATCATTTTTTATTCATTAAAAAGTACAGGGGGCACTTTATAAAGTGCACGATTGTCTAACCACTATGCTGTACACCTGAAAGAAATACATCATAATGTTGAATGTAAAATGTAACTAAAAAAATTTTTTTAATAAAATAAAATAAACTTCTGAAACAAAAGTGCCATCTTGGGACTTCTCTAACTTCTAGAACAATTAAATAGTGCTGACAGTATAGTTGTATTACATAAATGCAAATATGCTGTAATGATTGGCACTTTACAAGCTTAAAGCAAAGTAAATATTTGAGTTATTTGGTTTAAATTAAGTTGCCATGCCTTTGGCTTTAAATAACACCCTCTAGATCAGGGGTTCTCAACCTTCCTAATGCTCGACCCTTTAATACAGCTCCTCGTGTGGTCTGTGGGCGTGTCTGCATGTGGGCAGACAGCCTGGAGACGGACAGAGGAGCCGTGTCTCGGTTCCTAAGACCCTCGGAAATAAGACCCACAGGTTGAGAACCGCTGCTCTAGATGACTAGGTTTGCTTTGGAGAGAGACAGTGTGCTGGAGGGAAAGGAGGGGTTGATGGCCTCACTTCTGCTAGCAACAGCTGGGGTGGGAGGCCCTGGTGCAAAACACAGAGGGCTCCACCAGCCCCCCCTGCTGATGCCACCCCAGGGGGCAGGAGTCTCATCACAATTGTAGGTGCCACTCCAGGGCTCAAGACATAAAGATCTGAGGTCATCAACACATATATGGAGACTGAAACTTGGAAACAGGTGCTCCCAGGCACGGAGAGCGTATTTAACGAGACGCCGCGAGCCCCAGAGAGCAGCCGCGCTGCAGGTGGGAGGGGAAAGAGAGGACATGCGCAGGAGACAGGAGGTAGAGGTTGGTGCCAGGGGTGAGTTTCTAGAATTAGGGAGGGTCCAGGGTGTCAATCAAGCAGAAGACCAGGCACAAACATTTGGTTTTGTAACTTTAGTGTTAGTAACAACCGTTTTGGGAGAGTCACAAAGATGAATGCCAGACCACAATCAGTTGACTGAGTCCAGACTGCTCTCCTTAAGAAGTCTGGAGGTAAACGAAGGGACAGAGAGCCAACAATACCTAAAGAGGATGAAGACGTGGGAAATTTCTTAGGACAAGGTAGATCTCAAAACGTTATATAGATTTAGCCAACATGATCATCGTGTACTCTTTGCGTGTCCAGTGTTACAGTTGTGGAGACGCTGGGTGGTGCAAAAGCAGAAAGGATTCTTAATGACTTGGCCACTTTCCATGGAAAAGTAGTCCCTTCCAATGGATTATATACAACCGCTTGAAGTGTGCTGTGGTCCTATTTGAGAATTCACTCTCTCTCGCACTGTCCGTCCTTTTGTCTGATGCTGTCCGTTATGAGGACACTGGGCTCCGGGGTGTTATCCACACAGAGATGGAGGAGGCTCGGTCCTGCCCTCAAGTTCCCCGAGCTCAGGGAGGACATAGGTGTGTAAACACAGCTCCCACAGGTAAGAGTGACTTAGACGCACAAACCCGGCGGGCAGGGGAGGAGGGGTCACAGGAGAAGGAGGAAACAGGACAAGTCCAAAGGTGCAAAAGCACAAAGCACTGCCCTCTGGGAAGCTGCATGAGTTTGGGTATGAGCAGGCACAAAACAGGTCACGAGTGGAGAGGAAGAACAGTCCATGGCAAAAGGGCCTTCTGTGCCATAGTAAGGAGTTTTCATTTCCTCCACACTTTTAGCCACTGTGGAGCCCATGACGGACTTGAAGCAGGCGATGATACAATCAAACAGTTTCTAAAACAGAACAGTCATGTGAAGATTAGATGGAAAAGGCCTAAGATTCAAGAAAGATCCAACCCCACGCCCCCGGAACTGACCAACACTTTCTCACAAACACTTCCCAGACGGGCTACACTGTCACGTGGCCAATGGAAGGTGGAATCATCTTCTAGAATAACACTGCTCTTTTCCCAGAAAAGCATCCTTTAGGTGAAGATGGAGAAGATGATGTATGCATTGCCAGAACCTCTCAGGAGGAAAATTTTCTATGCCCAGCCTGTCTTGGACCGGTGAGAAATTCTGCGTGGGCAATTCATTCGATCAGCATGACGATGGGAGCTCATGACCTGGGTCAAACCTGGTAACTTGTGCAGAAGGAGGCCCAAGAATATACAGATTCTATGACAGCAGGTGACGACAACAAAGACTCTAACCCCAGACATAAAGAGATGAAATTACAGGTGGTCTCCTGAAAAAAATATGTTGGACTTAACAAATAAACTGAGCAAACAGGAGGTCCTTAATAAATGTCTGCTTGATGGATGAAATAAAAAGTTATCCAAATGAGGTCATCAGGAATATAACAGGCTTCTTGACTCTCCTAGAACCAGCGTCCACCTGTACACCATGATTTCTGTAGAACCAGTATCACACAAAGGAGCGGCCTATGCGGGCACCGGGGCAGCCAGTACCCAGGCCAGTTGCCAACAGCCGGGCGCTGTGACCACAGGGTGTCACGCGAACATTACGCTCTCCACGTGTGCCGTGTGGAGAGGAACAAGGAAGCGTGCCCAGCAAGCGCACCCCAAGTGGCTGCCGCCAGGGCCGCAGCAGCCAAGTGTAGTCTAACCACTCCCATCACGGAACCAAGGCGCAGAGTGGTCCAGGTGTGTCAGCCTGGCCAACCACAGTCAAGTCGACAACAGCTTCATAGTCTGAGAAATAGCCTCACACAGACGAAACTACCAGAAAGTATTTGTTTTCTCAGTAAAGGAATGAATGTGTGGGGAAAGAGAAGCCAAGCCCTGGCTGGTCTGGCTCAGAGGTTAGAGCCTCAGCCCGAGGACTGTAAGGGTCTCTGGCTGATCCTCAGTTCTGGTCGGGCTGGTTCAGGAGGCAACCATGGGTGTGTCTCTCTCACATCAATGTCTCTCTCTCTCTCTCTCTCTCTCTCTCTCTCTCTCTTTTTCTCTTTCTCTCCCTCCTTTCCACTCTCTAAAAATAGCAATGGAAAAATACCCTCAGGGAGGATTAACAAAAGGAAGTCAAAGTTATTTCTCAGCTTTTGAAGTGGGTTCTACATGAACTTCAAGTTCCAACCACTCCCGCAGAAGGGTATTTCCGGCAGCTCCTCGAAATCCCATGGGGCCAGTTCTGGGAGGGGTGACACCTGAAAGCCCCATGACGAGACAGCCCCCACTGCCCCTGAAGCTGCTTCCATGTATTTCTCTCCCTGTCCCATCTGCCCGCTGGGAGCAGGGCACTGTCCAGGCCCTCCTGCGTGCCCCTCTGCGTGCCCCTCTGCGCGGCCGGCACCGGGCAGCGGCGGGCACGCCAGCGCTGCTCGGCAGTGGGAAGCCCCGCTCTGTTGTGTTGTGTGAACACCAAAATCTTCACTGGTTTTCCCTGGAGCAAAGGTCCATTTTTATTTTTTAACTGAATTGATCAATGGTTAGATTTCAAAGAACTGGCTACTCTTTGTTTTCAAGGTTTTGAGAATCCCTTAAGAAACCTGTTGGGAAAGTACAAATATCTGCTGGGTTCTTAGCGGAGCCTCTGGACCGTCATCCAGAAAGTTCTCTACTCCACAGCCGTATGGCCAGACGGCATCTGATCACGCAAACTGGAGAATGTGGAGCCCACACCAGCCTGGCAAAGCACCCCAGGGACCTGATTTGGGAAGACACTTTGTTTATCAATAACTAACACAGTGGGCCATTTGTGAGTCACGTGAACATAAAGCAAGAGGCTGAGAGATCCTCCCCAAGCCTCCGGAAGGCAACGGGGCCTTGACCGTCTTCCACATCCTCACTGCCCGACCCAGTTGGACACTTTGCCTAAACTCCTGGTGGCTCAGTAGGTGAGGTGGTGTCTGGAAGCTCTGGGAACATTCAGCCGACTCTCAGACCCAAGCAAATTCAGTGTATTTCCAGGTGGGATGTCCGCCGTCAAACTGTTATACAGCACAAGTCCAGTTTTGTTTTCAACAGATCCTGAATTTTAAAATAAAAGTAACTTACAATTTCACTAACAAATTATAAAGTTATTTGTCTTATAGCGGTGGAAAGTAACTGTCAGTAAAGATTTGATGGAAGAATATGCGGAGATATGGCATTTTCCAAAACTAAAATTATGACTCCTGGTTGAATCTGAGAGGACAAACTGACAACCATAGAAACCTCCAGAAGGATTTCACCCACCAGCTGCTCCATCCGCAATACCTGACTGTTGGCAGGGGGGCAAAACAAGTTAGTCAACATATAATCATATCCTACAAAAATTAAAATGCACCAACCTCATAGTGTTCATATTCATCCACATCAAATGTCTCAAAGTCAAAAAATCCATGTTGTAATCCCTAAAAGCAGAATTTGAATTAGTTTTTCCACACTAAACTCAGCAAGGCTTCTGCCCATCCTGGGATCCCCCTCACAAATGATGCTCAGTAATCAGAAGGACAGAGCTTGGGACCTTTGGTTTGTAAAAGCTCGTCTAGAATCAACTCCTAATAGTGATCATTTTGCTTTGAGTCTGTCTTATAAGTGGAACTAAACACTTAGAAACACATGAAAATATGTCCCACAAAGTATGTTTCTTGAGGCCACTTACATTATTTTTTGTGTAAAATTATCTATGTCTACAACATGCAACATACTAGCAAATACTAGTTATTGGGACTATGCAATTAATTCATACCTAACTATAACAGAATATATAACAGTGACTCACTTTTCAGATAGGGGATGGTTTATCTTCCTTTTGTCATTAATGAGATAGTTAGAAAAAAGGGCATTTTTACTTAGCAGGCCCTTATTTGTTCCTAAAACTCTAGTTGGAGAGACTGTTTTATGGTAAGTTTCTGACAGAGTAAAACTGGACTTGATGATCTTACAGTTTAGAAGGATGAACTGACATGTTAGACAACACAAAGAAAACTTTTATACTCTTTGTTGTAACTATTAACTTAGAACTTTTAAAATCTCTCTGGTTTGCTCAAATATAATATTTCAAAGAGGGCAGAGTCTTCTATTTCATGTCATACAGATTACTATAGAATGCAAAACCACAGTTACTTCTAAAAGTTACATGATAAAGTCATTAAAAATTGAAGAAACTATTAAGCCAGGCTCCAATACATCTATCTTTGAAAATACTTTAGAGATCAACATATTCCAAAATGTTGCCCATGGACCACCTGCAACAGAGGCACTTACGGTAAGTTATATGTGAAATGCAGATTCCTAGGCCTCGTCCCAGAACCATGAAACTGGATTCTTTGAGGGCGTGGAGGGTAAGACCAACATTGTTAACATGCCTCCTTAGGTGATTCCCATAAAGACTAAATTCTGACAAACTGGTTTAGACAACCCTTTCAGAGTAAGTAGAACAAGTTATCTAAATTATTTCAGCTTTAAACAAAGTAACTGGTTTATCCATACATACCTTTCCAGAGGACACTGAGAAAAACGCATACACCCTGCACTACCACTCTCTCGCCTTTCTGAAGTCTGAGTGTGCGCGTGCCTCTGTGCGAAGTCACACACGTGACCTGTGCTTATGACAACGCTCAGCACCAGAACCAGAAAGCTAAGCTTCCTGAAAAGGCAAATCTGTGGCCAGGCCCTGTCTCCGCTCTTAGGAGGCTTGGTGCTCATGGCCCAAAAGAGAACCCAAGTTCGGTGTCCTGGGGGAGGGGATGTTCTGGAGGGAAATGTGTCTTCGTTGCTTAAAGACAAGTTGGGTGATCTATTGGATCCACTAAAACCTCATCTACACGGGGGTAAAATAAACCCCAACAGTTGGTGAAAGGAGACATTTACAGAAGACCTGATTCTGAACCAAGTCCCTGTCTTCCTCTACAGCAGGAAGGACGTCACCAGTTTCTCCACCGCATCCCTAGTGACTGTACCAGCGCTGTGAACTCTCCAAACTTTACAAGTTACAGGAGAAACAGGCTGTGCCGGATGGCAGAATAGGCAAAATGATAATAATAATAATTACTTTTCCCCTCAGACATATTTTGAATGGCTGTAACTGTCGGTTATATTTTGGGCAATATCTCCTTAAGGACCCTTGCCTGCTGTTACTGGACATGTGTGTGGGTGATATGATTTGCAATGGATGGGCTAGAGCACTGTGATAGTTTTATGTTTGAAAACTATCTTGAAGTTTTACAGAGTTTAAATTTGTTTTCTTAAGGCAAAGCAGTGGTTCTGAAGTCCCACTGAGAGCGAGCCTGTGTTTTGCCCTGTCTGGGAAAGGACACTGTGACAACAGACTCATATAAAATATGAATAAATTCATTTCTAAATGAAATAGCAAAGTCAAAGAAACATACACAAAACAGGTAGCTTATCTATCTATACCCACTTTCTCAAAACATAGCAAAGTTGGTTTTCTACTACAGCAGAAAGAGAGAGCCTGGAATGGAAACCACTCCTGACAACACACTGAGAGCCCACGGTGGCCCTCACCAGGGGCTACGTTCCCAACTGATACATTCTGGCTCTGTGCTCGGGACCAAATGATGTTCATTGAACCTTCAGTACAATTCACAACACAGAGCTCATGACTTCTGAGCTTGTGCATCAATGTTTTTAAAACATGTCCCAAAAGTTCTCACAAATCTTTTAGATTAACTTCTTTTTATATACAAGGGTGGGCAAAAGCAGGTTAAATTACCAGCCATCATTACCTAAAAGATAAATCATAAGTAAATGTGTTATAATAATAATAAGACAAAATAATACAAATAAATAATACAATAATGAATAAAGTAATGACAGCCCTGGCCAGTATGGCGCAGCAGTTAGAGCGTTGGCCTGCGGACCAGAGGGGCCTGGGTTTGGCTCCCACTAAGGGCAAGTACCTCAGTTGCAGCTTGTCCCTGGCCCCGGTTGGGGTCGTGTGGGTGGCAGCCACTCTATGTTTCTCTCTCACATCAATGTTTCTCTTTCTCTCTTCCTCCCTCACTCCCTCCAGCTCTATCTGAAGATAAATGCAAAAACAAAACAAAAGAAAAAGAAATGACAATACCAGAATAAAATCTGTTTCGTGTCCTCCCAACTGTAAACCACCTTTGCCCACCCCTGTATAAATAACTAAATACCCTACTCAGACTTTTCGAGGATCACCTGGAGGGGGCCGTGCAAACCAGGCCGCAGGGCCCCGCTCCCGGGACGCATGATTCCGTCCACCTCGGATGAGGACTTCAAATTACATGTCTAACAAGTCCCCACAACTCCCACAATCACTGGTTTACGGCTTCCCCTGATGTGATACTAGGAAGAACTCGGGTTGATGTGGAGATGGGAGTCAGAATCAGCCCTGAGAGTGAGTGACTCTGGGCTTGTTCTCTCATCTGGAACAATGAGGTAATACTATTCGGCCTACTTCCTGCTTCGTGGGCATGTGACTCTTCGTGGGAAGAGTCCACGCCGGCAGAGAAAGGCAGTGGCCGGGATAGCCCCGTCTCTCCCACACCACGATCTAGCTGGGGATGGAGCTGATGTCACAGGCTCAGCAGCAGACAGAAGAGACATCTGCCCAGAACACAAACAGTTTCAGCGAGAAAGGGAGACCCTTCTGCCTCTGTGAAGAGCTAGAGTGACCCCAGACCTCTCCTGCAACGTGCGCTAGAGACTACACTCTCCAGATCAGTCGCCGCTCCTGGAGCGGAAAGCCTTCTGCCGACAGCCGCCCCCTCCTCCCCCACAGCACAAGCACAGCCACATTATTCCTTCTTCATACTTTTAAACAACTGTGTCAAGTACAGCAGGGAGAATTGTTATTACCTTTCTGATTCCCTGCAAACAGTCGAGGATGGTGAGATTATAAGTGCAATTTCCAAACGAAGCATCCCTGTAAACACACAAAAAAGCTTACCATTAAAATCAAGCATTTCAATAGTCAAATGATAAGATGGCCAAGTCACCTGGACACATACTTGTTCGGCGTCCCAGCAGTCAGCATGGTCAACGCGCATGACACCTCAGATGCCACTAGTTAGCGCTCGCTCCACACTCATCCGAAGCACTTTGGAAGGGCTTCAGTCCGGAGCAGAACACATTAGAAAGCAGCCGGAAGAGCCCGAGCTCTGACGTCAGACTGTTTTCCTTCAAACCCCAACCCTGCTGGGACCTTGAGCGAGTTAATGTTACCTCTCTGGACCTCAACTTCCTCATCTGTGAAATGAAGGTACTGAGAGTAGCTACCCTCCATAGGATTTTGTCGGATTACATCTGAAAAACAGAAAGTCCTACATACGGTGCTTAGCACACAGGAGGCATTTAATAAATGGGATGACTGCCGCTATTATTCATAGTCATTGGTAGAAGTGGACTGGTTCATTATGTAAGACATTCGTCGTCATGAGAGGAGCGACACTGTGATAGATGTAGCAAACACAGCTGTAAAAATGTAAGGGGGGATCATGGATGCAGGTCAACAGAACCCAGAAACTGCTTCCATGGATTAAATGCCACCATCCCATCCCTCCCCCACTCTCCCGAAAAAGCAGCCACGGAAGAGGCAGTCATGCTAACCTCCCCCCGGGGAACTTCTAATGCACCAAGTGTTCTATCCACGGCAGTGGGAACCTACTGCACTGAAACCGAGCGCTTCATCCTTTATTTACGTTTTCAGAGCAACTTAGCAGACCTGCTTCAGGCAACATAAAACTGAAGCATCAAGTTCAGGTCAGTTAGGCAGGAACTGGCACCGGAGCTTTAAACTAGCAATGCTCCAAGGTGTCCAAGGCGAGAAACTTGACCTCGAGACGCTCGGTCTCTGCCCAGCCCCCACTGCTGACCCGCAGGGACAGAGCTGATAGGCACTTGCAGTGACAAAGTCGGTCCAAAGACAGCAGAGGGGATCCATGGGAGAAAATGACCTTTAAGAGCTTTGACATATAATTAATAGAAAACTGAGTTTTATATCACATCCATCCAAGGGAACTTGAACCAATGGTTGCTAAGTCATGAATTAAAATGCAACTTCAGCCCTGGCTGGGTGGCTCCATTGGTTGGAGCATTGTCCTGTACACCAGGAAGTTGTGGGTTCAATTTCTAGTCAGGGCACATACCCAGTTTCGGGTTTGATTCCCCACTAGGAGCGCATGCAGGAGGCAACCGATTTATGTTTTTCTCTCACATCAATATTTCTCTCTCTCTCTCTCTCAAATCAATAAACATATCCTAGGATGAGGATTTTTAAAAAATGCAACTTCAACATCACCAAGTTTCAGCATCCTGATCACCTAGTATAAAAACATTAAGTTAGCAAAGCAGCTTAACAGAAATGTTTCTTAAGTCCTGAAATTTAAAAGTTAACCCATGTAGCTCTGGCCGGTTTGGCTCAGCGGTTAGAGCGTCGGCCTACGGTCCGGAGAGACCTGGGTTCGGTTCCCACTAAGGGCACGTACCTTGGTTGCAGTTTGTCCCCGGCCCTGGTTGGGTCGTGTGGGTGGCAACCACTCGATGTGTCGCTTTCACGTCGATGTTTCTCTCTCTCTCTCTCACTCTCACTCTATCTGAACAAAATATCGAAAAATGTCCTCGGGTGAGGATTAAAAAATAAATAAAAAAAATAAAATAAAATAAAAGTTAACCCATGTAGACTTCCAGTCAAGATGGCAGATAGGTAAACGCGGTATCGCGTCCTCCCACAACCACATCAAAGTTACAACTAAACTACAGAACAACCATCATTCAAAACCGCCTGAAATCAAGCTGAATGGAAGTCCTACAACTACGGAATTAAAGCAGCAGCTACATCCAGACTGGTAGGAGGGCAGAGGGGACGGGCTGGTCCCACACCCACGTGTGGCGGATAAAAATCAGGAGGACACCTCGGCTGGGAAGGTCCTCCCTGAGGACTGAGGGGTCCCCGTCCCACACCAGGCGCCCCGCTCAGGGTTCCAGTGCCAGGAAGGGAATCCCCATCACTTCTGGCTGGAAAAACCAGCAGGAATTGAGGCTCAGGGAGGCTGAGGCGGCTGGAGCCCCAGGCAGCTCCTTAAAGGGCCCGCGCACGGACTTATCGGACTCTCTCCCTCTAAGCTTGGAGGGGAGGCAGCTCGAGGGGTGCCAGAGACACACAGGGAAGAACTGAGCTGTTTGGCACTGGAGCGAGGGCTGGAGAGGGGGCTTTCTCCAGGACAAACGTGCTGGCAGAGGCCTTTGTTCCTTTGGTGAGCCCTTCCCGGGGGTGGCAGACAGAAGCCATATCTGGGACTCCAGCAACCTGGCTCACACTGGTAGCCCCGCCCTGCTGACTGCCTGAGGCCCCGCCCCACCCAACTTTCAGGCCCATCCAAGCTGTTGTGGCCTGTCTTGGATCCTGCTTCAGGTTTTCCTAAATTCTTTCAAACAAGCAGCATCTGGTCTCAGCCCCATACCACTCGTTAAGTAATACACAGAAACAAACACAGGGAGGCAGCCAAAATGAGGAGACAAAGAAACAGGTCCCAAATGAAAGAACAGAACAAAACCCCAATAAAAGAACTAAGCGAAATGGAGATAAGCAACCTAACAGATGCTGAGTTCAAAATGCTTATAAGGATGCTCAATGAACCTAGTGAGAACCTCAGTGAACTTAGTGAGGGCCTCAAGAGCATAAAAAAGGACCAGTCAGAAATGATGGATGCACAGTCAGAAATAAAGGAGGCATTAACTAAAATAAAGAATAATTTACACAGATTCAATAGTAGAGTATGTAAATCCAAGAAGCAAACCATCAATTTGGAATATAAGGAAGCAAAAAACGCCCAATCAGAACAGCAAAAAGAAAACAGAATCCAAAAAAATGAGGATAGTGTAAGGAGCCTCTGGGAAAACTTCAAGCGTGCCAACATTCGCATCTTGGGGGTGCCGGAAGGAGAAGAGCGAGAACAAGAAATTGAAAACCTGTTTGAAACAATAATGGCAGAAAACTTTCCTAACTTGGTGAAGGAAACAGACATAAGTCCAGGAAGCACAGAGAGTCCCAAACAAGATGAACCCCAAGAGGCCCACACCAAGACACATCATCAAAATGCAAAAGGTTCAAGACAAAGAGAGAATCTTAAAAGCAGCAAGGGAAAAGCAGTTAGTTACCTATAAGGGAGTTCCCATAAGACTGTCAGCTGATTTCTCAAAAGAAACTTTGCAGGCCAGAAGGGTGTGGCAAGAAATATTCAGAGTGATGAAAAGCAAGAACCTACAACCAAGATTACTCTATCCTGCAAAGCTGTCATTTAGAATCAATGGCCATATAAAGAGTTTCCCAGACAAGAAAAAGTTAAAGGAGTTCATCGCCACCAAACCGTTATTATATGAAATGATGAATGTTCTTTTTGAAGAAAAAGATAAAATATATGAACAAACAAAATGGCAATGAATACGTATCTATCGACAATGGAATCTACAAACAAAATGAACAGGTAGAACAGAAACATTCTCATAGATACAGAGAGCATTTTGTTGGTTGCCAGATGGGAGGGGGGTTGGGGGAATGGGTGGAAAAGGTGAAGGGATTAAGAAGTACAAATTCATTGCTAGACTGACAAACCTCAAAGGGAAAGGGGGTGGGGGGTGGGAATAAATAAACCAAAGAACTTATATGCATAACCAATGGACACAGACAATAGTGTGGGAAAAGGCGGGAGGGGGGCGGGAGTGGGGAAAAGGGGGTCAATGAGGGAAAAATGAAGAACATCTGTAATACATTCTACATTCAACAATAAAGATTTTAAAAAATTTAAAAATTAAAATAAAATAAAAGTTAACCCATGTAAATAGGAGGGTTACTCAAGATATTGAAGTCTGATTTTAAGAATTCTTTTGATTAATGCCATCGGAACTCATGGGTTAGTGCAAAACAAAATAACTGCTTTTCCATGTATCTTGTAAAGACATAAAACATATATCAAGAAGCAAATATTAACGGACCAAAGCAGAGGAAGAAGTATCCAGGGATCGAAGATAAAACACCAGGTGATATAAATAACCTCACGTCCCCTTGCAGGCACTGGTTTCTTTGGGACCAGTGCTCAGAGTCTTGTGGGTGCCAGGGGCCCCTTCAGCAATGTGATGCACCTTTTTCTCAGAATTAGCTTTATTTATTTTTCTTTCTTTCTTTCTTTCTTTTACTTTATTGAATTTATTGGGGTGACGTTGGTTCATTAATAATTTCAGAATAAATTTTAAATGCATAAAATACCTAGGAATAAGAAAAGACTCCCTCAAACTTAAAGTTATCAAAATATTTAAAAAAACAAGTTTATAATACCACAATATGTACTTTTTTATTAATATATTACACAACAAGTGTAGCAAGTCTCATAAGACTCTAATTTTAAGAATACACATAAATAATATCTATCTTAAGATACTTCAATAACTATAATGAAATTTTAAAAATGTCTACAATTTCCATGGGGACAAAGTCGTTTATGTTGTTAATATTGCTATAGTTTATTCCCAACATTTATAATTGAATGTCGTCTAATCAGGTTAGTGAAAATTTAGATACTATTTTTTGTCATCCAAATTCACTGACTCTCTAAATTATCTCCATAGACCCCAGATTAAAAACTATTTCAGTAAAGAAAAGGGGGAGAGGGTATTTGTATTTAAAAAGAATTTTTAAAAACTGTAAGACTAGCCAGTGTTCTTTATTTCCTCAAGTATATCTACCCACGCCTAGACTTAGCTAAACAAATTCACAAACATCAGTTGTCAGAAAAGCCTACACCCAGCCTCTCCGACTTCCTGCAAAGGATGGGGAGCCGATCCTGTCATCTCCTGTCCTAGCAGAGCCACAACTTGTACCAATGACTGAAAAGGCTCTGGTGACCTGGGGGAGCAGACCTGAGAGTTAAT